TAGTGTTTGATTGATACATCGTTGCATCATTCCTCTGGACTCGGTTGAGCTCTCAGCCTTCCTCGTCAAAGTGCCGTTCAGAGCAGAGGCGCACAAGTTTGGCAATTCGCAGGCTTCGGCTGATCGGCTTCCTTAACCCTGGCCTCATGATCAGGGCAGATTTTGCAAACAATCTTGAAATATTCCACATCATAAGTCAACGGCAAGTCGTGACAAAAGAAGACTCAGCTTGCGCTTGATGATTCTGCCATTCCATGGACACCCTGGTCAAGGTTGACTCGCTTAAGCCGAAGAAACGACGGAATGGTTTGGAGCTTTGTTGTCACGAGTTCCACTCGATCTTCCCAGTCCTCCGCCAGTGAGGATAGTTTGATTGACCATATGCGTAAGTTCCTTCTTCTTTCCCAGCAGGCTACATGTAGGCCGTAGATTGAACGTCGAAGGAGGACTACCAGTAGTTGAAAGCACTCTCCCGTCCTGGTCCGGAAACGAGAGGATAATCATGAGGACGTAGAGAGCAAAGGGGCCAGTATAAGTTTCAAAACCGGAGCTAGACTAGCGGAGTGACAAGCGGCAGCTGTAAGGAGACCAGTGAACTGCGAATAAAACCTTGCAGCCATGATAACCCGCGCTGTTCAGAACAGTTTCGTCTGCTTCAAAGGGACGACAGCTAGTAGCGACATGGGATTTTGTGAGGCAGCTCGACAGTCTTGCTCAGCTATTTCGATCGAGGAGTAGCCTCGATTCTTACACAATTAAACAGGCAAGTCAAGCAAGCTCTCCAATAAAGTCCATCCGTCAAGAGTTTGGTTAAAGAGGCTTGAGTGAGGTACCCTAAGACTTCAGTGATGGTATAAACCCCCTTGTTGAAACTTTGCGCACAAATTGTAGGTGCATATGCTCATCGGCTTCGACGATGGAAAGATCGACCATAAGCGTTGTTGTCAATCCTTTATCTGCTACTCGCGACTCGGTTTGACGTGATCTTGAGATGTCTATCTGTTGGTTTGCGAGGTTCTGACGTCGGTGCTTTGCACGGTGGCGAATCTGAAGAGGTGATGTGCACCGACGTTAGGAAGATCTTATTGGTCCTTAATACTTCGAGGCTATAAAGAAGAACTGATAAGAAGTCTACTACAACTTCGACTGTCGAGAACTTGATCCAGAAGGATTGATTGCTAAGGCCTAGCCAATAGCTGGTACCACGTTCGAGGTCGATTGGATTGTTGCAGGAGGCCGAGCAATGAATCGCCTACCGGTACGTACATTTTCTCAACAGCCTACTTGTAGCTCACTAGTCAACTTAGAGAATCTTTTCATCCGTTTAACATTCGCTGAACCACCCTGTTGCAGCACATGCCGACATCCATTTGGCCCTGCAGCATGTCGTTTTGGGATGCACAAATGACTGGCGTCATCGTATCCTTCTCGTAGCAGCTTGTTGACAAAGCTTGCATGTGTATTCATAGCTTGCAGGCAGAAACAGAATGCGATCGTCTTTGAACGCTCGGGGTTGGTTTTTGAGACACAGAGGTTCGCTTCGCTTCTTTACTTTCGCAAAAGCCCTCTCCGAGCCTTCCCAAAAGCATCGGTCGCTTCCACGGTGAGTGACTCAAACGCTGGATCGTATGGGCCAGATCTGGTCACAAAGCTTCGAGAAAGCGCAACATCCACCTGCAACTTTCTTTTGCCTCTTTCAGCATGATCAAGAGGGGACTTTGGGCCCTCTCGCAACTGAAATCACTCTTCGGTGCTTCCGTGTTGCGTTCACTTCCTTTCAAATGTGGTTGCAGATGGACTTTCAATCCTTCTTTCTGGTCCCTGCCGCCCTGTTCATTTTGGTACTGGCAGCGCACCAATGTGCAGCCCTCAACATTAGCGAGGAGGCAGTCTCGGCCAGTGCCCCAAGCGCCTACCTCATCATGAAGAATGTTACCTATTCTGCCGACGTCCCTCTCATGGTGAGGCTCTACTCAGGGTGTACACAAGGAGACCCCAGGGGTTCTGTGGTTCTTCTTTGTAGGCGTTAGGTCTTACGCACGTTCTTTCCTTCTCAAGATCTGCATTGAAGAAGGGTTTCTGTGCCTTCTGGGGTAATAATCCGTTTTCAAAGTTCGCCCAGATTTCAGAGCCCTTTGCAGCTTTTTGAGCCTGGGTCTAGATTACTCTCACTCTGTCGTCGTGAGAATGACATAGTCCGGAAGAGCAGAGACCGTACTGGAGGTGCGACAAGTTCAGACGAAAGGCGCGCACTGAATCACAGGGCACTGCTCCATATACTGGACCGTCAGCCACCGCACTTTCTGGCCAAAAGCAATCCTGCAGATTGAGGAGCTGCAACGATCTTCTTCTCGGTCTTTATCGTGCTCCTCAACGGACATACCCTTTCCTTTGCCAGGGCTACCTGGCTTACGACAAGCGGATCAGCGCTCCCCGTCCGGGCCTTGTCGTCTTCCCTGACTGGGACGGCATCGGGGGATACGAATACTACCGGGCCAAAATGCTCGCGGCGCTGGGCTACATAGGTGCGCGAGCACACAAAAACGCGACGTCCTCATTGCAATGAAGCAGGCAATGAAGACGGGCTTCCATCTTGTATCGGAGGTCGCTTCTTCACATTGCCTTTTTGGGAACCTGCCAGGACTTTTGCTTCTGTAATCCATGATAAGGAGAAAAGCACGCACGGGATTCCTTTCCTAATCAAAGCAGTGTTTTGGTAGATACTGTCATTCCTCTCAAGAGAGGATACCGGTCGTTGTGAGAGTCGGATCAGCACCGACTCCGAGTCCCTGCGTCTACTGATTTCAATCACCTATCGGACATGACAGCTCAATTCTTACCCGGCCGCCTGACGTATTTTTGCAGTCTTCGTTGGAGACATCTACGGCAGCGACGTGGTTCAAGGCCCCTCACTTCCCGTGGATCTGAGGGCCCAGTACCTCCTGCAGCTAGTCAACCATCCGGATATTTTCCGGGGCCGGATGGTCGCTGCTCTCGCAACCGTAAGCCATGGCCTTGACTCGTTCCAAATCTGCCGTTACTTAGGCCTTCGTTCTCCGATTCTGATCTCCTGCGGTCATCTGCTTTCCGGGTACCTGCTATCGAGCTTCTCACGAGGACTGCTTTTTGTAAGTTTTTATCTGAGATTTTGCGCAATATTTTTGTCTGGCGCAGTTGAGAAAGGTTCCGAATGTGGCCACCGCTAGGCTGGGTGCTGTGGGCTACTGCTTGGGTGGCACAGGAATCATCGAGCTGGCACGCGCTTATCCAAACGGCACTGACGGATTGAGCGGTAAGTAAAGCTCTAATGCTAAGTAAAAGCGTGTGTATGCACAGAACAGCTTATAGGAGAGTCCGACAGGCAAAGTGCTGTTCTGAAGGGGCGAATTTACAGCGCTTGCCCAACTTAAATCATATTTGACTGGTTGTCTGGCTACACTCGTACACTCAGTTCCGACTTAGGTGTATATAAAGATCCGTCTGGCCTCATCTGCTGCTTCCGATCCTGTTCATACGAAGCCCTGGGGGTGTAGAGCTTCTACAGACAACCAATTATTGACTGTAGATTACCAGCTGCGTTCTTACCAGCGCCCACAGTGTCTTTCTTTAGGCTCATTCCCTGTTTGCAACTCGCCCACCAAGCCTTGGTTTGTCGGACCATTCGCTGCCACGTGCAGGCGTTGTGGGCTTCCACGCGGGGAAGCTCGACACCGTCGGTTCCACGATCATGCCAAACGCCCCCATCGAGATTCTTCTGCTACAAGGGGGAAACGATACAAGCGTGGAAGGCCGGGGAAACTTCACGGCAAGCTCTCGCACTTGTAAAAGCGTTTATGCAGCTTCACTGCGAAGCTGACTGGATGATTCTCTTTTTGCAAAGGCACCGTTGCGAGCAATTGAACGCGACGCAAGAAACAAAAATCCCGTGCGCTTGAAGAGAACCACAGAATGATAGTCTTGGTAAAGGTTCATGACCTAGTTCCCAGTATTCAATTAAAAGAGAGGAGTCAACCATCAGAAAGTGGAGAAACTCCGTCGGTGTTCTTTGAAGAGCAGCAAAGCCCTAACTCCGGTGGTCTTTTGGTATTCCTACGATGATAAGCAACCCGCGTGTTATTTGGACCGCAAGCTCAGTGTAAGCACTTTGCCTGCCAGGCCGAGATGAAGGCTGCCGACATCTCCTACAAAATCATCGACTATCCCGGATCCTTCCACGCCTTCACAGAACCGTCCACAGTAAGTTCTCGAAGGAAGCCTTTGCGGTCTCTGGATGTAAATATGAGCAGCTCTCTTAGAACCTGCCTGAGTAGTAAAATGGACGTCCCAAGTACCCGAGGCGGAGGGACTTCCAATTGGCAAGCTGTGAGAACGTATGCGTAGAAGATAGGATATCCCTGTACGCAGTCTCGTGATTGGACGCTGTATTGCTTTGTTCCAGGATACGTACGGCTCGAATCCCCAAGCGGACGAGCTTTCTTGGTCTGCCATGCGCTCCTTCTTAGACGACCATGTCGGATCAGTAACGCCCTTCAACGAGAATGCAACCGATGGGACGGCCACGACATCTTCTCAGGGTGGACAATGAAGCTGGACAACGCCGTTTGTATATGTAAGGATCGACTATCGTTGTAGGACTCTGTTTGTGAACCGTCCAGTAAGGGAAGACAAACAAGAACAGTTGAGAATGAAGCAGCCTCCGGACCTCGGGCTGTTATCAATTTCAATGCTGGCGATACCAGTAACGTGCGTTGCAAGTTTAGCCCCGCTGTTGCAAGTGATCGTTCAAGCAGTGCAAAGATATGCAGGGTACAGGGTCATACCGATCCCAGCCCCGCAAACGTTTGTACCACTTCTAATCCGACGCCTGAAAAAATTAATTTTTCATCTGGACATTGATGGCAGCCAGACAGCATCGAAATCTGATCACGAACTCAATTCGATTGTATTCTGGAAAGTTGCTTGCTTACATCTTTTTGACAGAAGTCCAACTACCTAGTGGCACGTACCGAAAGCGGAGTGCTTAATGCCAGGAACTGCGCTTGTATGTCGTCATGGGTGGTATCTTGACTGCGAGAGTAAGTAACCTAGTAGTTGCTAGATTCGCAGCCGCTTCGGCATCCATGTTCATTAGTGTGCTCTGATGTTATCCTCTGTCATGCCCTGGACCTGTGCACTCGACTTGAGATAGGACCCAGAATCGCAAGGCAGTCCTGCCGCCCTGGCAGCATGCACGCATAGAGTCGCTGAATCCAACGGCAATACACACAAGTTCGAAAGCTTCAATCTACCTGCCCGGCGGGTCCGCGCATCTAGCCGCCCATGCACAACTTCGATCTTTCGAACATGCAAGAGCTTTCAAAGGTAGTTGTATGCAAGCGCAATTGATCAACTCGAATCGGGCCTTTTGATGACAGGGCACGCCTGTGTCCTGATTGAATGTCTTGTACGATCTCAAATGTACCATGTGGGCGGCCGCTTATATTCGCATCATGTACATGGATGTTAAATCATCTCATGCAGCTGCCGCGGCACCATGCAGGCGTTGGACTTCTGCATGCCGTCATGTGCAGCGAGTATTACTGTCCCAGTACAATATGATATTAGTATCGGTTATTGACCGCCCACTTAGTATCTGTGAATGTGGAAGCACTCCCTGTTACACCAACGATTCTTCTTCGGCTTCAGCTTTCGTTTCCAGCTTTTGTGATGACCCCACCATATCGTCAAGCAGCATGTCCTCAGCTTCCTCTGGGGGTACCGCCAAAACTTCGATCGACAAGGCCAAGCTAATTTGCAAAACCGCAGCTCTTCTCCATGTTTGAAATTCCTCTGGTTGTGGAACTTTGCAACTGGTCACAATGAGACACTCAGGCAACCCGATACATCAGGATGTTAGCCAATGAATTTCCACTTGCAGTGTCTTATGTGGGACTTCACCGCCAAGCCCTTCAAGCATCGAACGACCGAAAGGTAAGACAGTAGAGGGTTGACCTGAAAACCTGTGGGAGTAGGCATTCAAACGCGAAATTGCTCACCTCCGGATAATTTTGCTGGAGATGACGCAGTCCGCAAGACTTGTGCCGGTGACCAGCTAGTTTTCTAGCGTGTCCAAAATGAAGTTGACGAACATCAACTCCAGTCTCCGAGTGGCCTGGACAAAGTGGATTGAGGGTGAGGTTTGACACATGTCCGGCCCTGGAGGCATATTCTAAGCCTGCCAGAAAAGCGACGAGCTGTCAAGCAACGTCTAGAATACCTGCAAAAGAGGCAAACGCTGGGATTAATCAGCAAGCCACCTTAAAAAGTGCATCAGACGTGAGTAGCGACCAAAACACACCCCCCAACTTTCATAGCCACTAGAAAGCTCATGGCTCATGAACGCAGGCGCGAGAAAGAACTTCCGCATAAGCGCGCACAATACCTGCGAATTGGATGGATACCCCTTGGACGTCCGTTCCCGCACTTGACGCAGCTTCCCATCCGCCACCAACGATCGGAAGCCGAGGCGTTCCTGGCCGGCTGAGGTGATGGTGTCATGGTGATTCCCGTCCCAGCGGATCCCCGGGGGGACGGGGAGTGCTGGCAACTCGAAGGGCTCCAGCGTGGGGGAGAAAGAAACAGCTTTGGTCAGCGGGGTTGAAAGATGTGACCAGGTTCTGTAACGCTCAGCCAAGCACGTAGGACCAAAACTTAATTCTATCCTGACGTTGCTTGAAACATAGCAAGACGCCCCTTTAAGCAACCAGATCCAGATTACTATCGCCCTACTTCTATAGTCAATGAAACTCAACTCCCATCATGCCCGCTTTAAGCTAGCGTTGCTGATGATTCAATACAAGTTGGTACTGGCGTCTTGAGAATGTCCAACTGCTGGTGTGCGAGGCTTTCTGACGTCGTTGAATATTACTTGTTCAGATTTGTCACCGTGCTTTGCCGTCAGCGATCTTAACGGTCCTCCTTGCCTTGAGGTCGTAGAGACACACGATTATCAAGTTTCTAATAAGGAGGCTGCTGCAACGTCGACTATATATTAGGAACTTCCAAGTGTATCGATTGCTAATATATAAGAGAGTCGCTGGTGTCAAGTTCGAGGCGATGGGATTGCCTTGCAGGAAAACGAGCAACTTGTATCGCCTACCGGCCAGTAAGATCTTTGAAAGCCTATTGGTAGCTTATTAGTCAACTTAAAGGATTTTCAACCGTCAATTATTAATTGCAAGACAATTCCCTGGACCACCCTGTAGCAGCATATGCCTTGTGTGACTCCCACTTGCCAGCATCCATTGGGCCCTGCAGCATGTCGGTTCTGGATGCAGAAATGGCCGGCATCGTCGTATTCTGTCTTGCAGTTGTTTGCAATTTTATAACTCACAGGCAGGAGCGAAAGTCGAAACTGTCCTCATTCGCTAGTGATCGGCTACCAGGAAAAGTGAATCCTGCCACTTCACTTCCAGAAAAGCCCTCTCACAACCCGGAAGCAACAGTCGATCGCGAAGCTGCCAGGGTAAGTGACTCAATGCCTCATAAAGAGAGCCAGATCTGGTTAGCTGTGGGTTTTGTGAGCGCAGCCTCAGCCTTAAGATTCATTTTGTGCGTGAACTCATGACCACGAGGCAATCGCAGACCTTCTCACGATCCTCCATCCGAAAGAGCTTACCAGTGTTTTCTTATCTCTCAGCTTTTGGGAACTGTCTGCAGATGAGCTGTCCATCCTTCTTCGTGGTGTGTGCCGCCCTGATCGTCTTGGCACTGGCAGCGCATCAAAGTGCAGCCCTACCAATCAGCGAGGAGAGAGTTTCGGCCAGTGCGCCAAGCGCGTACCTCGTTCTGAAGAACGTTACCTACTCTGCGGACATCCCTCTCAAGGTGAGGGGCGTACAGAAAGAGACCCAAAGGTTTGTGCGCGCGTCTTAGATGGTAGATCCTAAGTCATAGTTTCACCTCTCCCAAAGCATACGTGAATTGTCAGATTGGAGGTGTTGTTTGAGTGCGTTTCGGTGCCACAAACCGTTTCTTAGGGGCGCATCAGATATCAAAACTCCTCTCTACTCTTTCGAGCTTGGATCTGAGGTGCAAAGTCTGCCTTAGTTGGAGATGAACAGGTCCGCAACCGCAGAGACCGTAACTGAAGTTGATACGAATACCGAAACGAACGGCTCGCGCTTTAAAGCAGGGCACTGCTCCACATTCTGGACGATCAGCCACAGCCACGTGTACGCTGTCTGGCCAGAGTCTTGTGCAGATCAACGAGCTGCCTTCATCATCTCCTTCGCTGTCTTTGGCGTTTTCATAGACGGACATCCCTTTTCGTTTGCCAGGGCTACCTGGCTTACGACAAGCGGATCGCCGCGCCTCGCCCGGGCCTCGTCGTCTTTCCTGACTGGGACGGCATCGGGGGATACGAACATTACCGGGCCAAAATGCTCGCGGCTCTGGGCTACATAGGTGCGCGCGCGCACAAAGACGCGACGGCCTCATTGCAATGAAGACCCATCTTGTCAGAGATCGCTTCTTAACTCGGCCTTTTCGCAGGTCTGCCAGGACGTTTGCATAGAGACTCCGGGTCTGTATCCAGCAGCTAGAGTCTATAGAGTAAAAACGTGTTAAGAGTCGTCTCATTATTTGAGATCAAACTTTCAGTGTTTCGGTATACTTTGTTCCTCTCCTGCATCAATCGGACAGGATCGGATTGTTCCGAGAATCGAAATGACGTCGAGTCCAACCCCTTCCGTCTAGTGATCCGACTTATCGGCCTCAGCTCGAATCCTACCCGTGTTTTTGCAGTCTTTGTGGGAGATCTCTACGGCAGCGACGTGGTTCAAGGCCCCTCTCTTTCCCAGGATCTGCGGGCAGATTACCTCCGGCGCCTAGTCCAGAACCCCAAAACCTTCCGGGGCCGCATGCTGGCTGCCCTCGCAACCGTGAGCCGCACCCTCAGGATCGATCCAGATTGCTTGCACGCAGGCGCCCTTCGTTCCCCTGCTCTTGTTTGTGCGGCCACCTGCCTTGCCTGGACTGTCGAGCTTCTTACGAAGACTGCTTCTCCTGAGAAATTTTGCAAATGTTTCTATATCTGACGCAGTTGAGAAAGGTTCCGAATGTGGACACAACTAGGCTGGGTGCTGTGGGCTACTGCCTCGGTGGCACAGGGATCATCGAGCTGGCACGTGCGTATCCAAACGGCACTGACGGACTGAGCGGTAAGTCCGGCGCTTTCGACGGCGTAAGTTGTGCGTATGCATAGAACAGGTTATAGGGGACGTGCTCGATACTTCGACAGGCAAAGTGCTGGTTGAAAGGGGGAAAATTACTCCGCTTGCCCAACTTGAATTCCATTCGAATGGTTTCTGATCGCAACCGTACATGCAATCAGGAATAATGGTATTCTCAGGGATACCCCTCGCTTCATTTGCTGCTTCTAATCCTGGTTGAGAGAAGCCCATGAGCTTTAGTGCTCTTAAAGACAAGCCGTTACTGTCTCGCATATCTGGCAGCTACCCACAATGCTTTTCCACTTAGCTAAATCCAGTTAGCTAAATCCAGTTCTGCAACCTATACACCTTTCCATTCGAAACCAAGTCTTGATTTCAATAACCTAGTTTATGTATCTTGCCACGTGTAGGCGTTGTGGGCTTCCACGCCGGGAAGCTCGACACGCGGTTCCAAGATCGTGCTGGACGCCCCTATCGAGATTCTCCTGCTACAAGGGGGAAGCGACCCGACCGTTACAGGCCGGGAGACTTTCACGGCAAGCCCTTGCACTTTCTGAGGCGTCTTTGCAGCTCTGCTGCGCGGCTAGATGCGGGATCTTCTTTTAAAGTCTAGAGCTACGGTTACGTTACTTCGAATCTGACGCAGGTTGAGTTGGAAATCTGTGCGCTTGGAAAAACGTTGACATTGGAAGTCGTCAGCTCAGCATTCCGATTCGACTGGTTCAAACTTCAGCAGATTCTTTCGGGAATAAGCCCCAAGTCCGCGGATTGTTGCTGTGCTGGAGAGATAAGCAGAGTCCCAAACCGCATTTGCATATGTTTCGTCGGCGTCTACATACGACTCCCGTGCCTGTACTGAGCTTTGACGCCGAAGAAGAAGTTGGCAGGTTGATCAAGGCCAGCGAAAAGGCTGCTTGTCAACTGATAAAGAAATTGGATCGCGCGTAACCACAAGCTCAATGTGAGCAATTTGCCTGCCAGGCCGAGATGAAGGCTGCCAACGTCTCCTACAAAATCATCGACTACTCCGGATCCTTCCACGCCTTCACAGAACCGTCTGTGGTGAGCAATTGGAAGGAAAGGTTGCCATCAGTGATGTCGATCAGTGATCTAACCAGCTCTGATCTAATCTGTCCCGCAAAACAGTCTGAATGTTTCCAGTCCCTGTGTTTTAGATTCTCCCAACCCACAAGCTGCGGAAGTGTATGCGAGGCGATTCATATGTTGCTAAACGCAAGCTCCTGATCGGAAGCTGTAATTTCTTGTTTTAGGAGACGTATGGCTCAAATCCCCAAGCGGACGCGCTTTCTTGGTCTGCCATGCGCTCCTTTTTGGACGATCACGTGGGATCTGTGACGCCCTTCAACGAGAACGTAACGGATCGGCCCGCATCCGCACCTGAGCCAGCGTCAGCACCTGAGCCAGCGTCAGCACGTGAGCCAGCGTCAGCACCTGAGCCAGCGTCAGCACCTGAGCCAGCTTCAACGCAACGCCATTCGGAGTAGACGGACAATAGAGCAAGTGATACTGGAAGCGACCTCAGGTGTCCGCAAATTTGTTGCTGACAATCGTACGGATGTGCGTTGCAAAGAACAGCCCTGGCTACCGACTATTGTTTGACTAATAAAGCCGCTGTGCTTGATTGACAGATCCTTAAACGGCATGTATTGACGCGCCGCAGTACATATATAGGATTAGCGCAACTATTCGAGGTCTACGATTTGTTGAGCACTGAAGTAATCTTTCGATCAGCTGTTACCCAATACTCAGACAATCCATATCCAGTTTACAGCAGCCAGAGAGCATCGATATCCTTTTCAGTCGTAGGTCAAGCATCCGTTGACCCGGGGAGTAGGACAAGGATGCATGTCATGATCATTGCAGCACGCGAAGTTTTAATGAGGATTCAGTGCAGCCATGCACACCCCATGCACAGATCATAGAATTGGATGTCATTTACAGGTACTCGGCGTTAATAAGATGCCTGCAGGAGGCGGCTCAAGTTGCTAATAAGCATGGTGCATCATACAATCTTTGGAGTAAGCAGTCATCATCATCAGGCCGCGCTACTGAGGGTAGTTTATACAAGCTGGGCGATAACTTAAGTGGCCAATCCACTTTGCCTTTCGTCGGCTAGCTGACCTCGTAATATTTGAAAACGGTCTTCAAACATGTCACAGGCCTTGTAAGTTCCACGCGAGCCATGGCATGAAAAAGGCCGCGTGCTTTAAAAGCTCTAGCTAGCTAGCACGCGCAGAAGCTTGCTCGATGGTAAACGTACCGGGAAATTAGGGGAACAGAGATACTTATGTTTGATCGTCTTTTATCATCATAGTAATATTGTTTTCGGTAGAGTAGATCCCATGTTAAGAGATTACCGATCTCTTTAAATTAGCCGCCTCGTTCGGGCGTAGCAACACTCGAGGCTGCTCTTAATATCGGGGCCCCTCGTGTTCACGCGAAGCAAGTCGCGGGGACCGGGAGCTATCAGGCTGGGGCAGGGGGGCCTTCGGACAGCGCGTTAACAAGTCTTCTCATCACCAGATTACGACAAAATTAGAGTTGTCGAGTGCCATTAGCCATACGAACAAAATGTCATTGATCTTATAAAAGGTGATGTATCAAATGCATTATAATCTGCACAAACAGCCCCGCGCATCATTAGAACAAGTTTAGCACGTATGATGAAGCGAACATAACTATGTATGTGCATGACGGAACGGTGATATTGTGCAGGGTTTTTCTCAATTACACATGCACAAGCAGCGTCGTTGTCCGACGTTGGCAGCTTCCAGGGCAACGAATTTTCTCCTCAGCTAGACCTCGGTTTAACAAGATTAGGATACACAAAGATGTGTCGATCCGTCGCAACAGCTCAACCTCACAACAGTCAGTAGCGGGATAGAGGAATTAGTTGAGAAACATGATGCGTCCTCCATTACCATCTTTTCAGCTTTTGGACTTATCAAGCACCTAACAGCAAAAACAGACGTAACGACTGTATAACGCATAAGAAAACCTGTGAGTATGGAAGCACCCTGTCACACCAAGGACTCCTCCTCAGCATCCGGACTCGCTTCAGGCTTCTGGACTGACCCTGCCATATCGTCGAGCAGCACGTCTTCCTCTTCCGGTGGTACTGCGAGGACTTCAAGCGACAACGCCAAGCTAACCTGCGAAGAAGGAGCAACTTGGATTCGGATCCGTTTCTCTCAGTCTCGTCCAGGCCAGTGTATCGTTCCGGCGAAGGTGAGAGGCGCAGGAACCAGTTTTGCAACCAACACAACCACTGAGCAGTCTGCCATTTTACAGTGCCCTCAATTCGGACCAGAATGAGCTCCGCTTGAGCATATCTAATAAAGCAGGATTTCAACCGATGGCCCGCCTGGCTGAAGTGTTTCCACGACGAGACTTTACCTCTGGGAACTTTTTGCTGGAGATGACGCAGTCCGCTAAACTGGTCCCGGTAATCAGCCAGTTCTCGAGGGTGTCCAGGCTGAAGTTGACGAACATCAACTCCAGTTTCCGGGTGGCCTGGACGCAGAAAAGAGGAATGCGGTTGGAATCTGCGGAGCCTGGCCTGATTGGCGTCGAAGACCTTCAGGCAAAAACCGTACTAGCAGTTGACCAACCTGTTAGTATTGCGGGTGAGCATGGAGGCAAGGAAACTACGCGTCGGCAGCGTCTCAAGGCGAATCATTGTTACTGAAGCTGTTCCTAGGGTTTTTTCAAAGGTGTTGCCCCATGATCTGTATCGAACTTGTGAAGAGAATCTGGCGAATAAAATTAAGGTACTGGTTGAGCGAAAGGAAGGCAAGAAAGCGTTTGCTTGCAAGAGCCTGCGGCGCACCTGCGGATGTCCCTTGGACGTCCTTTCTCTCACTTGCAGCAGCTTCCCGTCCGCCACCAGCGACCTGAACCCGAGGCGGTCCTGCAGGGGATGTGCAAACCCACGTTTACACACAAGTTGAAAAGGCGACGACCTTCTCCGGCGCTCAAGTAGCAGCCGCGGTCCCGTTCCTCTCAGTCTGTCAACCACCAGAATCAGGGCGACTGCCGCCGGTGGCCTCCCGAAAGAACAGACCGCGTGGCCTGCCGTCTCGGTTTAGGGTCATACTTTGGTAACTACAATTTCCATAAATGATCGAAGCTCCGGCACTCTTTCGCAAGCCACACACTGCGCTTCAGCCCCCCTTCCATATATCCAAGGTTGCGGACGGCTAATGTACATGCGAGAGACAAGAGATGCCCCATCTCAAAGCCCTCACCTTCCCTCGCATCACCACCAGAAACTGCGCCGCAGGATCGGAGGCGTCCACTCCGGGCGCGCCCAACTCCAGCGCCCACCCGCGCCGCTCCGTCGCAACCCAGTACTGCCCCTTGTCCTTCGCCTTGAACGCGACCATCAGCCCATCTTCCAACGACCCGTTCAGCGACCCCCCCATTTCGAAACCGGGGGCTTCGCCGCCCAAGCTCGGCCTGCGTCCGGAGGGATCCCCCGGGCCCTCCCCGAGGATACCCTTGCCGTCGTATCCTACTGGGGGGGCTGGGGCGGTTACGTTGGAAGCCCCGTCCCGGCTGCTGCTGCGCAGCCCCACAAAGGTGCGGTCAGCGGGATAGCTGCTCGTGGGGGGGTGCTCGGGCCCCAGGTTCAACCCCCCCACCGCAGCCGCCAGGTCTTCTGCTGGTGCTGCCACGTTTCCCCCCCCGCTCTTTCGCTTGCCGAGCCCCGTTCGGCCCCTCCCGCGGAAGGGGGCCGTTTCCGGCGGCGGCCGGACCCCCCTGGAAGGCGAACCACTGGTCGGAAGAGCTCGTGCGCCTGACAACAGAAGGCGGCTGGAAGGGTGGGCCGGTCACGAAAGGGGGGGGTTCCACGCCGGGGGGGAGGATGTCGGCGACGCCGATGTCTGTACCACTGTGAACGGTGGGCAGATTGGACCCGCTGGATTGGGAGCCCTTCTTGCCGCCGCGACTTTTTCTGCGCAGAATTGCAGGGAATAGGTCACGGAAGAATGGCGGGTAGCCGGCTTTGCTTCGTGGCAACACTGGGAACACTGCTTTCTGGGCAATCGGGATGCTCCAATTCTCGAGCAGTTTGCGCGCACATAGAAAAACTTACGGTCTTATTACAAAGGCGTCTGATGTTGTGTTTGACGTCCAAGCTTCTCAGTCAAGCCCTCATACCAGCCATTGGTTTCAACGGTTTCCAAGTAACCATGATTGACCGAAGTGGCGGACGTTCTAGACGGCCCGTAGCCACAATAGTCACGCCCTCCCTCACCTGCGGTTCCTCCTGCGGCCCGATCCCCCCGCCTGCCCCCCTGTCGCGGTCACATCACTCCCGCCGCTGCTGCGCCGATCCTCGGCAGAACCAAGAGAGTCGCCGCTGGAGAACGTCACCAGGAGCGATTTGGAGGCAGACCCCCCCGAAACGGCGCTCGGCGCGAGGCCCAGTTGAATGGGCTGCTGGCCGTGCTCGGGCTGGGGGAGTGCGCTCGCTTGTTGCTCCGTGGCGACGATGTTCTCGACGGAGAGGGAGGGGTCGAAGCTGCTGGGGGGGCGTGCCACGGAAGCTGCGGAAGAGGTGGAGAGGACGCAGTGAGAAGCGGACAGAGTCTGAAGCGCGATAGCTGGGGTTACGATGAGAAGGTTTGGGACGAGTGCAGTGTTGTGGAGCAGAATGTAGGTCTGCAAGACTGCGCTGGATGATTGTTGGGTCAGGTCTTGATTGGCAAATCTGACTATATGAAGGCAGGGGGAAAGGGTTCAGCAGAAAGTGTCCCTTTAACGAGCACAAATTCGCAGTCTGCTGCCCTTGTTCGCAAGAGCACAAAGATTGTGCAACTAGAGCCTTGTCTCTACTTTACGCCCCTGACGGGCTAACTGGCTGGTAAAAGAGAAAGAGCTTCTGTCAAAAGCAATCCGCTGGACAGGAGATGCTCTTCTATACAAAGCAGGAGGCTCCCGACCTCGAGTCATACTCGATCCTCAAACATCAACGTCGAGGTTCAGAACTCGGAGGCACCTACCTGGGCTTTCTAACGGCAGCTCCCCTCCTTCCGGTCTTGGCGATACTGCCTGCCACTCGAAATGGCTGCCTACTGCGCCCGGTTTGCCGGGGGCCACGTCCCCATTGCCGGCCAGGGGGCCAGTCTGCGCCTGGCCGCGGCCCCCCCTGTGGCGCCGGGAGCTCCGCCGCCGCCGTCCCCCGGGCGCCTGGGCTGAATCCTCTCCTGCCGGGCTCTCCATGCCTGGTCAAATCAAAGGGAGTACAAGGTTAAGAGCGGAAACGACTCGGCGACCAGGTTTTCCACCTCGGCAAAAGCAAGGAACGCAAGGTTCAGAGCGGAACCGACTTGGCGATCAGCTTTTTCAAGCCTGGCAAAACCAAGAAGCAAGCACACGTTTAAGAGCGGAACTAATTCAGCAACAGGTCTTCACGCCTGACGACATAAGAAGCGCGAAGTTGAGAGCGGAACCGACTTGGCGAGCGGAATATCCAGGAGATACGTTGAAGTGTTATATAAGCATACGGAGCTCTACCCTCGGGGCGTGCATGCTTACAGGTCGTTGTCACATTATAACAGGCCCCAAATGATGTGAGACGAGTCGGACTACGAAGCGATGAGAGAAAGGCCAGGATAAGGACCTCTCAAGTCAGCCTCAATCACTTTTGCCTTACGCACATAAGCGGGTTGCGTTGCGACGAGCATACGGGCTAAAGCGCACAACCTCTGGTGAAACCGGTTTGGCGGCACGCTTTGTTCAAACAGAGGGGCCACAGCAACAAGCGATGAGCCTACGAGATAATGAGCAACAGCTTCGGCTCCGAGGGGCATTAAAGACTGCGCTTTCGAACAGAGCCGGACCTCCTAAAGCGCCCACTTACTCCCCTCGACAGGTCGACCTGCAACGTTTCGTTAGACGCCTCCTACCAACCACCCACACGCCGCTCAAGCCTCGCAATAGGAAAAGGGACACAAGCAACCAGACACCAGAAGGACGAACGAGACAAAAATTGCCACCTGCGACTCCAACGTCCCGACCGGCGCTGTCGACATCGCCCGACTGCTCCTCCACGTCATCATCGGACGCCAGCCGTTCGGACGGCACGATGCCGTGCGCGACGTACTTGCGGACGGCGCCGCTGGCCTTGACGCGCACTTCGGCCCACACCTCGTCGCTGTACTCGCAGCTGCGCGGGGTAATGAGCACGTTTGGCATCTCGCGCACCTGCAAAGAATGAAAGTCGGAAATTTTGTCGTGAAAGGTCAGGACTGAGCTGAGCGAAGTGGTAGCCCCTTTGTGGTTCGGCCGACCGCCAGGGAGTGACGAGCACTTTGTGGAACCACCATTTATCAATCTCTGCGGGAGGATCTGTCGTAAGGGGAATGTTCAAACAAGAGCAGTTTATTTCGCAGAAGGCCTCCGCAGTTCAACCGTCCACTAGATTTGAATTACAGTCCTGGCTACGACGAGAATAGAAAAGACATGGTCACAAGAATCTGAGAGCGTTCCAAAAGTTCGAGGCTTCAGCCTGTACGTCCGTTCACACCCGAATCCAAGACTGCAATTTGCTCTTTCTTGGCACTGGATCTGACCCTAGGGCTGCCTGGACACTTGTCAGGCAACGGAAGAATGCTTGCAGGCTAGCAGCCAACTTTGCCGGCCAGCAAAATGCGCCTGTGATGGTTTTACAGCGGTCACGGAGTAGCTTGAAGAGTGATTGCCGTTGGACAAACGTATGAGAACAGCGACGAAGGAATCAATACTCACCCAGGCCTCTAGCCACTCTGGCCCTTCAACGCCGTCGAGCGCCGCCCCACCCACTGCCCCGCTGATCAGCGCTCGCTTCAGGGCGCTGTCGTCGACCAGATGACTGCTGGATGTGTTAATCACGAGTGCACCTGCGCATACGAAAAGCAAAGATCAGCTTGCGGTCTTCGGTCGGAATATCCTTGCAGATATACTGGGCCACTCTGTGCACAAGTGACTCAGTTCGGAAGAAAACAACATGAATGGGAAAAAGCGGCTTTCAGGTCTTGATGTCCTTTTTCTACTCGCTTGAGGTAAGAGAAAAGATAGGAGTACTCTGGCCCTGGAGCTTATAGAACAGTCGGCATTACAAGGAAGCAGAAGAGCTCGGAGAGTAAGGCTCGTACCTTTCTTTATACTCCGAAAGGCCTGGTCGTCGAGCATCTTGACAGTCTCCTGAGTGAGGGGGCAGTGCAGCGACACGACGTCACTCTGCGCCAGCAGCTCCTCTAGGCGCGCAACTTCCGTCCCCTCCCGCTGCAACTTGGCCAAACCTGCCTGGGCTCGACCAAAGTCGTCATCCTGGCGAGCAAGAGAGGTACATTCAGGATCTGAGACCAATCTAAATAGCAAAGGTTCCTTGCTGCTTGGAAGCATTTGTCGCAAAAGCCCTGCTTCTGGGCGGATAAGCTGCAACTATGATCAGAACCTCTGTCTTCGAAGTCAGGGACCAGCTAAAGTAACAAACTTAGTTCGCACCGTTATGACGACATAAGACAGCCAGAAAAAACCTACCTATGCTCCTTGACCAGCAGTGGCAGATCCGTCTCATGTCAACCTTTTAATAGAGTCCTTAAGAGAAGCCCGGCACTTTAAACCACAAGTATGTATATGCAGCCAAAGAGGAGGCAGGTTCCCCTTCTTGAAAGGCGGCTCAAATCAGAGCCCTACAAAATCATTCGACTGCAGCTGTGACTTGCCTGCTGTAGGTCCAGAAAGATGACCTTCATCTTGAACCCCCGGGCCCTCTGCGCCAAAGCCACGGCACTCTTGTCCGTCCCGACGAGGCCAATGACCTTCCCCTTGAGTCGCTTCATCCCCCGCAGGGAGGTGTATCCCGGTGCCCAGCTTATGCGCCCGCAGCGCTGCGTTGCTAGGTCGTGCGTGCGGCGTAGGAGAACGAGCATCAGTGCCATCGCTGAGTCGGCTACCTCGTCGGCGCGCGGCCGGTCTATGTGGAAGAGACGCAGGCCGAGCTCGGTCGCCAGGCTGGAATCAACCTGCAGAAAGCAAAAAGAGTTTGTAGATACTAAAATAAAAGCAGATAGTTTTGGCCCATAGCGGCGTCATGGGTTTCAAAACGCAGCGTACATAAAGTGGCACGCTTGCCGATATTTGGTTTCGTAAGTGCGGCACCACGTGACCACTTTCTCAGCCACAATAAAGCAAGAACGTACTATGCAGGGGCCACCATGGAACCAAGTGTATAGACGAACTCTTCAAGGCTTGGGTAGTGTCAAATGCTGAGTTCGCTGGCAAGGCTTTGTACATCCAGGCAACAGAGATTAAGAATGCCCTTGTGAAGAGGAAAACAAAGGTGGCAGGAGAGTGGCCCGCTTTACAAAACGACAATATGTTAATCCAGCATCAGGCATCTCAAATCACAGCATTGTGATTACTGCAAGAACTGCAATCGACAGGCTGTCTTTGCCTTTCAAGCAATGATTGCCCTAACCCACCGCTCATAGACTGTCCGTGCCATTGACTTTTCATCAAGCGGCCGTATTTTGCCACACAATCATAGAGACTGCACGATATTCCAACCACTATTTGTTTTTGGAGCATTCCGACTCAAGAAATCCAGCCCCGGATGTTGCTGGGATTACGTTTTGAACCGAGTGATTGAAGCTGTAGCACGATGTCTCACCTGCTTGTCAGAGGACCCCAGGCACAGGATAAGCTGCACGGGGCTGAGCCTGCGCTGCGCGTTGCGAGGCAGAAACGCAAGAGAATGCACGACGACCACCGCGGCCGCCTCGATCTGCCCCTTGCCAATGTCCGTGAGCGCAACATGCTCGACCTGTGCCACACCCTGGAGCTCGCGCTGCTCCGCTGAGCAGTCTTCAACACAGTTGAGGTACACAACCAGGGGAAGGCGGGGCGCAGAGATTGCGGACTCGGGGGCAGAGTTTCGAGAGCGGCTGCTCCGCGGTTTTGAGGAGGAAGACATTGCGAATGGCGGGAGGTGCTGCAATCGTCAAGATTGCTTTCTAAAACAGTGCCAGAGGGCCTCTCATTGAGCTTTTGCGGCGATTCTCCACTCTGGTCCTATGATCTTGATCGGTGCATTGGCTGAGGCAGTGTTGAATCGGCGCAGTGATTTGGGGTCAAAGATGATCTCAGGGTGGGTCATGGTGGCGAGAAGGCCGCAACCTGCAAAAGCAACCAGAAAATCTTTGTGAATCTGGCAGCTGAAAAGGAGCGGCTTTGCCTTGACATTCTTGGATAGCACTTTCTGCTAAAACTTCTTTATAGGAAGGTGATGACAGGCAATGAGGAGCATCCGCCTGATCAAGCTCCAAGAAACCAGCACCGACTTCCTGCAGGGATCTCCATGACTGGAAAAAGCTCTGTGAGTCTCTCAATCCAAGCAGAGAGAGGATCACCTGAGCAAGGAATCAGGCCCCTTCTGCAGCATCCATTGCAATGTTTGTACACTTTGACCTTGTGAAGACAGCGCCGATTAACAGCAGTTGTCCTATTGTAAAAGTGGACCAGATCAAGCAATGCATTGCAGTGAGGGGCTTGAAAAATACCCAACAACTTGAACTTAGCGTCCTCAAACGCCACTGTACAAGGCAGACAGGCCTCACCTTTCCTCATGCAGTGCTGTTCCCCTCCATGATGTGCAAGTTCTTTTGAGCTGAATGAACAAAGCATGGGCCTCAGTACTGCGCAAGAACATATAACATAGCGAAAAGAGGCGGGCCAGGGGGTGCCAGGGGAGCTGCCTGCCGCCACAAGTTCACAACCATCAACAGCTCCCTCAATTGCGTTCTTGATTCAACTTTGAAATTTCAACAGAGACAAACAATTCAATTTCAAGGAGTCAGAGCGCTGTGTATCCTACTGCTCGTTTCACACCACCTTTCCACTCTGAAGCCAGAGCTGGCGGGGTTGCAGTGTGAATACCTTTATTCGGGCCCACGCTAAGCCGGCTCATGTTTGACCGAAGTCACCGAACCCCTCAAAGAAGAGCGTATTCCCACCTTTTGCGCCCGGAGGGCCGAAGCTGGTGCGATCTGCCTGGCAAAGTCAAGACCCGTAGGAGAGAAGCCAGCATGGGGCAAGAGGCACAAAGTTTGCGAATGGAATCGGATGCGGACACCTTGTTCGGACACTCAAAAGTGCTCGGGTAGAAGTGTGACCATACCAGAACCCTAAGGTCAGTGACTTAGCCGTTAGTAGGAACCCTAATCGTATAGCAGTCACAGGGTAGGGTCTTAACCCTAACAAACCGTCTCCGGGAAGGTGCCTAACCCTAACATACCGTCAGTGTTCTGTGACTTAACCCTAAGGTCCGTCCGGAGGCCCGGTTGCTTCTGGGCTAGGCCGTACCGCATAAGAAGCGACGGTGCATACTGTGCGCTGCCATTTCTGGTACGGTACCGTCCAAAGCCGACTCTCCCAATGTACGTTTTGCGCCAGGGGCAGAAGCCTGGCCCTTGAATATTAAATACCTCTAGGCAGCGCAAGCTTGCACTTGAAGTTGCAGAGCTCTGCAAAGTCTGAAGAAGTGCGCAGCGGCTAGTTAGTCTGACAGCGTTCACAGCAGAGCATCAGAGCGCAGAAGGCATCCGTGGGGCAACTGCTGGATGCTGAGGCGCAAATTTTGCTCTGCAAAGGTCATCCTGCGGCTTCTTGAAGCCAGTCATTCAGGCGCTCGAAGTTGTGCTGGTCTTAAACAGCCTGTCGTGGCTCTGGACATCATCCAACTAAGCATGTGACCATTTTTCCACCACCTGTTGTATCGAAGTCGGACGGCGGTGCTGCAGTGAAACGATGAGCAGCCAGAAGCTTGCTGAGATCTCGGCCCGCATTTTTGGGAACGTCGTTGGCAACGGGTTGAGGTCAGGTCGGAAAGTCCTCAGTCAACCACTGGTTGGGGAGAAAGTGGTTGCGTGGTACCCGCCAACTCTGGAGGAGAATGACGCGCTATTTGAGGATCCAGAAGAGAAAAGGTGAGCGGGAAGCAGAAGCACCAACAGGGTGTGCTGAACCTGTTATGGCAGAGGTTGCTTGGAGCGCACGGAGATTCTGTCCTCTGGCATTGGCTCGGCGCACTGCTTTCACCAACACAGCTGTACAATGCACTTGCTGGCAGAGAGTCTAGAAAGTTCAAGTCCATAGTCAGTATCGCATCTACACTGTCGGCTAACCTGGTGGTGCTTTTTGTCTCAGACCCTTGGAATTCACTGTAGTCATGATGGTAAACGCAGAAGCAATGCCAGCTTTCCAAATTGCCTGTGTATCTCCTTGTAGGCGTTTGATGATGAACGACCTCCGGAAGCGGCGGGGCAAGGGACCACCAAAGAAAGGGGAGGGTAAACGTGCTGCTAAACGGAAGTAGAATCTTACTGGCGCCCATCGCTAGGGCATAGCTTGGGGCGTAGGTTGTGCATGATTCTGCTCAATCGAGTGTCGCTTTCTAGTTCTACCAATGAGTTGGCGGACAATTATTACCTGGAAGAGATCAGAGCCTGAACAACGGCTCGATGGTGGGTTGTATTGAATTCCCTGGTTTACTATATGAGAAGGACTGAGAGGTGAGATAAGGGAATTTTGATGGTCAATAGAACACAACTCCTTGAGCTTAAGAGTACAGCGGTTGTGCGATGTCTTAGGAGCCTAGGGGCTTGATTCGTGCCTGCTTCTCCCAAGCAAGTTCATCTACGGTAAGTGTCCTTGAGGCACCAAGGCATCGTGATGGTGAATGTTGAGCCCTTCACTGCTGAAACTCCTAGCTGCGATCTACAATATTTGCTTCTTTACCTCGGAAAGTTTGTTGAGAACGCATGTAAGGTAGTGCTGAATGCTTTTCAACCACTTGCATGTGGAGCCGCTGATCCGATCCAATACTGCAATCTCGCCATGTCAAGAAGGCGCCATGGCACATTATAAGGATTTGCCGTTCAGGCTTGCAGACTAGCCTTTCGCTGTCTTACATATCTGTCGCGAAACTCAAGAGAATCGTCACCATGGATTTCTACAGGCAGGATATATACTACGAGCAATCGAGGAACTTTCAATCGAGATTGAACTTGAACTTCCATGGAGCAATCAATCATTGCATCAATCATTGCATCAATCAATGCATTGCTTGCATGAACGACTCAGCCCAAGATTGCATCGGTGTGTGCTAGTTTACATCGTGGCGCGCATCCAGATGAAGGATTTCTTGGTCAATGGAAATCCATTGTGATACTCGGATGGGATCGAGTCAATCAAGTACGTACGATGAATCACAGAATCAGCTTATGATGGGGAACCAAGGGGCGCCCGTCAGGCTTGCCTTGCATGCTCAGTGGCAACATATCACAAGGGATAGTTCTGACTACCAATGCATGCGAGCACGACCGTGTTATGAGATTATGGTGGACACAGCTTATTGTCGTTGGACCTTATTGGAAGCTAGAGTTTCTCAAAGTGAAATACTGAAGCACTGTCTACCAGCTTCCGGCCCAAGCGACTATCAAGCTGCACCATGTTCCGCTAAAGAACTGTTGTCAGTCAGGTTCTGCAATGATTGACCCGTTCCTACCAATCTTCACCAGTCTTCACGCAAGGAGAACTGAATCAAGTAGTGGGCCTAATGTTGCAAGAAGAGTGTCAAAGTCTTTGTCGCTCTCGTGGTCAGTATAGGAATTCTGGTTCAAGGAGGTTCAACATGAGCTTTTCAGGCATGCCAGTGAATATACAAGCGATGGACGGGGACTTGATCTGGGTTGGACGTCACTCATTCAACGCCCCGGGGATTCTTCCTCAACCCAACGATTTTGTGAAGTGGGTCCCAGTGTGGTAAGTGCACTTCTCACAAATAGATATCTCACGCCGCCTTGTTGCGTCAAGGTCAACGCGGAATCTTGTCATCTTGCAACAGCGCTTTGCTTGGATCTTACCAGCCTTTCTGTGCAGACACGGACTGTCAAGTATTTATTATATAAGCTGCTCTTGATCTTTCTTTCGGCTCGTCTGCAATTTCTAGAGTGTGCCCGAAAAGCAACAATGTGCGAGCTAATGCTCCTAACAGCGTGCGCTTATGGTCCAGTTTCGACAGGGAAGGCCTTCTTTCTAGTACGCTCAGAACTTCAGAGGAACTGCCCGAGTTGAGCCAGGTTCTTTGGAGTTGAGGACTGACAGGATCCGAGACAAAGCTCTTCGATGGGCTCGGCTCTTTCCGAGCCATCGTGTGATCGTGTCGCTTCATTGCTTGAAGCTCACGAGAAATCAAAGTGTTCAAACACTGACGGGGCTCCTAAGCAATTATCTCGTGTCCAAAAACGAGACACAGAATACGTCTCCGGACAGCCAAACATGATTGTCCACACAGTGCTAAAGTCAACGGGTGTATTTCCCAAACAGTTGTACCGCAACATACAGGGTCTGAATCGAGAACGAGCTTGCTGCTTGATCGATCTGTTTCCAAGGCAAGTTCACTCGCCTCCTCAGCCCACTACGTTTTTCCACTGTACCATTCTGAACATGTCAATGATGATGTGTGTTTTGATTTTGGGCGTGCACAAAGTGTCTCTTGGTCCGCACGAAGCGCCCAGCAGCTCGCCTTACCTCCCTGCTTCTCTGTAGCTCTTCTTTCGCAAGTGACCAATCTGATCCACTTCCTGCTCAAAATGAGCAAGGTCCCAGTCCCCGGCCCTGCTAAAAACCATAGTGCGCTTTGCCAGTTGAGTGTGAAACCCCACCGCTGCGGGGCCTGCAGCAAGCTTCTCGCAACGGAAGGGCTCGAGCTGAGACGGAAGGTTTGGTCACCATTTTTGAAGGACGGCTATACTAGAGTACTGGGGTCGACTACAAAACTTTTTCTGGTGACGTCCGGTCTGCAACCCACGAAGTATGGTTGGTCATAGTTTATTCGTCAGCGGAAAAGGTGTTCTTGTTAGAGAACTTCGTAATACCAGCGCCACAGCCGAGCCGGTTCATTGGGCGAAAGCACCACGGCTCAGTACGCCAAAAACATTGAAGGGCAGGGAGTCAGATTCATTGGAGCAGCCACTGTCGAAGTTCGACGAACCAAAATCTACATGTCAATGTGTTTGTCGGATGCGGAAGCGGCCCGCGGAAGGATTTGTGCATTGATGATCACGACGAGGCGCAACTTGAATCCGGTGTAATAATGTCTTCTTGTTGCTTCTTGAATTGAGTAATCATGTCAAATGTTTCTGATTGCTTTCGAACAGCCGCGACATGTTTTCCACGAGGGTGAGTAGCCGTGCTGCACGCTGGTGGCGATCGATCTGAAGACGTCTGAATTAGCTTTAATCAAAGTACAAAATACTCGAAATCCACTGCACCAAATCAGTGTCTTTCCACTGCTGCTGAATCAGATCACTGACACACTGCTTACTCAATGATTGTCATTCGACTTGTGTTTGGCACTCTTCCCTTGTGCCGTTTTATCTGTCCATGGCGCAGATGGTGTGGACCTCGTAGAAAGAGAGGCCTCGAGCTTGCAGGCGTTTTGCCTCTGGTTGCAAGGTTTTTTCTGAATGCCATATACCATCTCGAAGTCGCTCGAGGTATGCTCCCTGCTCTGGCGCGCAGAGCTGCTTCGACGTCGGACCCTTTGATCAGCCAGCGAGCACGCGCGCGTGAACACTCTTCATTCCTCCGCCGCAACCAGTGACTTCGATCTTTCACAGGATACGAACTCAAGAGCGCATGCTTCGCGAAACAATCACTAACTACAGTAGTGAAGTCGCACAACGTACAGCTATGGATGCTACTAGGTAGTCATAAGGAGGCTGTCCGAGGTTGTTGTAATAGTAGTCTACTGCTGTAGTTACTGATCTGTTCAGCGACCGTAATCACACGTCTGTGCCTAGTACTAGTAGGTACTTGGAACTTGGGACAGTCTCGAACACTGCATGCGCCTGCATGCCTGCATGCTAGCCGCTGTACGCCCGAGCCTGCGAAGGCTGTTAAGCCGGCCTGACCGGGCTGATCTGACCATGTGCGTCACGTGGGTTTCGACTTGTCGAGTCAGTATGTCGGGCCGCGGAGCACTAGCATGCAAGGCCGGTGCCGGCGCAAACCTCGTGGGCTCGAATCTGGGCTCACAGGAGCACCGGAGACCACAAAACGTCACTATGATTGGCAGAGCCTGAGATACATACTGCTTTCACCAAGCTCAAACACTGCAATACTCGAGCCTCTGCTTCGGGCCTCTTTGACCGCTTCCTGCAAGCGTTTAGCTGATCCCTGCGCTTTTCTTAGCCCCCTCTTGGCGGCGCCTCGCAAGCCCCTGTGACGTCAGCCCTTGCGTGAAGAGTCAGCAGCCATGTCGTCCAAATGGGACCCGCAGCAGCAGGAGGGGAAGGGGGAGGGCGGCGGTGATCAGCAGATAGCGCCGCAGAAGGGCGGGAAGAACGTGTGGCTGATGAGGTGAGAGCTTGCTCGCTTGAGTTTCGGAAGTTGAGGCCTGCTCTCTATCCGATTCCTGATCAGCATTTGTGATAGATCTCTGATGTCCTTGGTGGTGGTGTGACTGCATGGGAGGAAGGGGGGAGGGCGGGGAGGGGAAAGGAGAAGGGGAGGGTGCTGGGACGAGGGGGCACCGCAGGAGATTCTTGTGATGGGTCCGGTGAGGGCATGTATTTGATTGCTTGGTCTTTTGCAAGTCGAGCCCTGATCTTTAAGCTACCTCTGGCCAGCATCCTCAAAAGGCTGATGTCTCTAGTGGTAGATTGGCTGAGAGGGTGCCACGACCAGTCTTAATGCATGCACGAATTGGGAGCAAGTGCATGGTTGCAACTCTGGAAAATCAGTATTGAGCTGACATACGGTCAACTTCTGTGAAGAGAGGACATTCAATCTGCTTAAGTTTCTCCCTTGCCTTTGGCAATCTGTGGCACATGCTTTTGCTTAACCTGTTTTCCTGGATGATCTCTCCTTGGAACCTTTTCGAAACCCCCTTGGTCTGTATTCAAAAGCAGTACTTAGGGACCCAACGAAAGTTGAACAGAAGCTGATGGCTCTGTTGCAGGATCCTGGTGGGCGGGACTATTCTCACCATTGGGACGCTGGCAATGCTGGCCTTCGGTGAGTCTCAGATGAAACTCCAAGATTCGTCAGTGTCTCTGGCGCCTGCTACTAAGTGCTTGGAATTGTTTTCTGAGGGACAGGCTACGAGATTACAAGTTTAAGTTTAAATCCAAGGAGAAGAAATGAGTACAAACAAGTCTTTTGTAAAGAGCTCCTGACATTTTGTAGGTATCACTGATTCCGGTCTCGAGGCAGACCTGCCTAGGAGAAGGACTAGAGAGTATTGGGTTGTGAAGCACATGGGGTCGCTGATTGGGAACTGAAACTCTATCTCAATCATCTGGATCAATGATATTAGGAGCCGGCAACTGTGGAAACAATGCATTTTGGCTCGTTGTCCGGACACAAAGTGATCAGAAATCTTTTCAGGAAAGACTTCCGACCGCAGATGATCAAAAGGTCGAACGTTCGGTTTTTTGCCCAGGGCTCCCGACCTTGGTCACGGCCTTGCCTTACTGCCGATTGGTCCGTTATGAGCCCACAAAACCAGCCCACAAGGTCAAGAAGCCCATGCAGCATTTTCGATCCCTTCCCTCTTCCCCCCCCAGGCGCGATCGCCATCCCGACTGTCCTCCTGGGGGGCGGTTTGCTGCTGCTGGTGAGCCCCCTGCTGATCGGCGGCGCGGTGCTGACGAGCCCCATCTGGGTGCCCCTCGTCGGCCTCACCCTGACGGTGCCCCCAATCCTGGGCACGATCGCGGTCGCGTTCATCACCTTCGTGCTCGGCGTCTACTGGTTCTGGAACTTCGTCCGGTAAGCATCCCATGCGACGATGACCATCACAAGTAGCGTACTGGTTGTTTTCTTTGGACATGTGGATGTGGGCTTGAACCCTTCCGGCAGTCAGGAAAAGGGTCCGAGGAAAGCTCCTCGAGCGATCTCAGGATCTTGAAAGGATACCAACATTCACGACTTGTCTTGCGTTTCCATCTGTCGTTCACGAATTTCTTTAGTGCTCGAAGAAACGGAGACGGGCGACTCATTCTGTGTTTAATTCACACCTTCGCCCGGAATTTTTTTTTTTCCTGATCGAGGGGTGCTCCTGGTTCGTAGTATCAGCCGTTGTGCGAAACGGATCACGGAATGATGGAAAGCGATTGTGATCTGTCTGTTTCCGTCATATTCTCCATATGTTGAATTTTTGGTGCTTCGTCTTGATCGGACTGGGAGCGCTCTCGCGAGCTGCTGACATTTCCCACCGAGACGCAGTATGTGAGTTTCGTTTTGACTGCGCTTTCTCGTTTCATCGGTGAGTTTTGCCCGTCTGGGCGAAACCTACGGGTTCACCTCGCAACATATGTCAGCTTCTTGTTCAAATTTTGCGCACAAAAACAACCTCCTAGATTTGAGTCCACTCTCGTTGCTTTCTTCGACTACCAATTGTCACGAAAAAGGTCAGGATAAACCGGCTTTACAGATTCCGTCTTACGCCGCTCTTCTCTCATGAGATATCGCATATTCTCATGATCGGCGTGCTTCTTCTTCCCAGAAGCGCTGCTAAAGGCGGGCGAGCGGGCGAAAAGCCGTCGTATGTGGAGAGGGTCCTCAATGCTTGATGTACGTTGCGCTCGCTTTTCAGTCTTTCTTTCACGAAACCCTTCAACCAGAACCGAAGCCGTCTGACGCTGTCTTTCTGATGCAGTTGTGTCGGCTGTGCTGGTCCTTCCGCCCTCAAATCCTTTCCCCGTATCAAAGCTGCTGTCCTCCAACAACTCGTCCCGCTCTTACAAGCCTCTGACTCTGGCCTTACCCAACGCGCAGTTCCAGCAAGACCCGCGAGGCGGCGGAGGATCTCAAAGAGGGCATGAAGGAGGCGGCCTACTGCGTGCAGCACCGCGTGTACGACACGTGTCACAGCGCGCAGCAGGCGGGCCAGCAGGCGCGTCAGCGCGCGCAGGAGTCGTCGTCGTCCTAGGAATGTTTTGAGGCTCAAGGTTTAGTTTGGGGGGGATCTGTTGGCGGTGTGAAAAGCTGTCTAAGGAGCGGGACGAATTTTTGGGGAGAAGTAGAAACGGGATCAGTCGGACTGCATACGAGACGAGCAACGGCAAATGAGAACATTGTGCCACCGAAAGCCATACGAATGGTATCTTAGCCTAGCCACAAAGCATCGGTGTAAGTATGAGAAGTTTTTAGACGCTCCGGTCAGCGAAGCCTTTGCTTCATTCCAGGAATACTGATTGAACGATCAGGAATTGCTTCATACATTTTCCGGTCTCCCTGCTTACAATAGCCAAATTTCTCAGGTCGGAATCCCAATCAAGTCAATGCAAAAAAATTTGCCAAACAGAAGATTATAACCACAACAATATCTGGACTGTATTGGCTTTGTTTGCTGCATTCCGCATATCGGAGCTCGAGGAAAGCAACTTGCTGCACTAGTGGAGGCGTAATGCTGTTTTGCACCAAACATGCTTCTCAACATTCTTAAAAAGATATGCGCTTCCGTCATCGTATATCAAAACCTCTTGGTAGGAGCAAATCCAGTACGATTCAACGGTAGATGAGAAGTGGGTCCAATTCGGTCAGGATTCTTGTTGTCGTACAGCTTCTCTATATTTCCTACGCATATCGGAGAAAACCTCTGCACTGAGCGACCCGTAACTAATTCTACGGAGAAGAGATTCCTGTATAGTGGGTGGAGGAGAATTCCACGTACCAGCTACGGTCACGGGACCGCGACTTCAACACGTCAGAATAGAAAGTCACCCTCTAGTTTGAAAGCCACCCTCTTTTGAACTAAGGACCTCAGTCTCTTGTCACAGCATGGTCTCGGATGCAACGGCTAGACTACAGTAAAACACGATCCTAAGTACGAATACACAGAAGTTCCGAAAGCACAGGGTCGCAAATTGCAGAACATCATCTTGTATGGGAATGAATGGTGACCTTGAAAAGTTTGTGCAGAAGTTTCCGCTGGGAATCAAATCATTTCAGCTCCTCTGATTTCATTTTATTTTCAGCGAGTACATATTAGCGATCGTGTTTGATGCACTCCCGCGTGGCGTTTCACAGATGCACTGCAATCCAGAGCGGACACAACTCTGTGTCGGAAGAGATTCCTTGAAGTCAGTAATCGTGGTATAAAATAGCATCAAAGCGGAGGCCCGTCCTTCATCCAGAGGGCTAATCAGCTACATAAGGGAACCTATTCTTTTAATTAACGGAATCGCGAACGCGACAAGGGCCCGCGACGACAAGGACCGCGCGCGCTATGTCTTGTATTGCATAAGGGAGTGTCGAAGGCATTGCGAATGTCATCTGATGACGTCAATTGTGGAAGTTTTGCTGTATTGTTGACGTCTTTCGACAAATCCCCTGCATGGCAACGCGACGAACAGAGCAAACCGGTCAAGAGGACCCAAATCTCAAGAATAGATTGAAACAGTACAGGGGTGGTTTGCATCTGCCCAATCAACCTTGCAGTCATGCAACGAGTATTGAACAGAGGACGACTTAATCTACTTAGTGAACATCTATGTAGGGGAGATTGCGCTGATCATTTCGAAAGCTATTCCTCCTGGGCCCTTCTTACGCACCGTAGGGACGACTAGTAAAGAGCAAAATGAGCAGGCAATGTCCTTTGTCCTCTAGATATTCCTCGCGCTTCGCTTCGTGAGAAGCCTTTGACGGCAATTGAACGGCGGACAGCAGTCACTTGCATGATCTAGGTTCAGGTTCTTAGGAAGTGCGATCAGGTGTTCCAAAAGACTTGGCATGATATAGTCCCTCGTGAAGAACTGCGAGCTGTTCAGGGAGGGGAGCATGGGGGGAGCGTAAGCTGACTGGTGAGTTTGATCATAGGTAGTTCTGGGAGGACGAAGAATCAGGATTGGGAAGCTCCTTGTCTTTCCTGAGGAGCATTATAACCAAGGCGAACACAAAGCGTTGAATATGACACTTACGGCCTCTTGCGTGAAGTTTCCACTGTCGGCACCGATTCTCCATGCAATGAGCTCTGCAGAAACTGCGAACCGAATTCTGGCCCGTGAACAGGACTCCTAGACGAGCTGTTCGCTTCAGAGCACAATACATGGTGAAACATCTGTACTTGACAGATCCATCCTGACCTCTTCCTGAGGCTGCTTAATCCAGATGTTTCTGCCGGAGCATCCATCATGCACTGCGAGAAAGCGTTTCGTCCGAACCAGGTCCGAAGTGGGTCCGAAGTGATTTCACCTGTCCAATCCCGATCAGCCTGCGCAGGCCCGGATCGAGGTATATTCCTCAGAATTCTAGTTATGCAGTATCAGAGACTTCGTGTTGTTTCCTCCTCTGCCTCTTTCGCAGTTACACTTAGATAACATTCAAATGAAGCATCTTCGAAATCTAAAGCTTGTGGAGAGTAACACAATACAAACCTAATGCAGAAGGTGGCGCGCAATTGAAAGAGAAGGGGACATTCTGCTTCATACCAACAGCTACTCACTCATCTTGCAGAACAACTAGTCTCTTTACTCGCTCAACACCTGATGATTGCTGTAATCTTTTTCCGCCAGATTCCTCTGCACCCAATTCCTCAAGCCAGTCAACGGGTTCAATTGTTCCAGGAAAGTTCAATAACCAAATTCAGCCTCAACCCTCAGGCATTGTGCTTTAATTTGGAAGCTCCGTGCAGTCTCAGGCTTATGACATGGCCGCGCCGCGCAAGGAGGGTTCAGGGTTTGGCCCGCAGCCAGAAGGCGCCAGCGCTCTGGCGCTCGAGAGAAGAAGCATCGCCGTCCAGACTGATCCCGTGATCATAGTGCGCCACGGGGGCCCTAAACCAGGCGGACAGACCGGTCACTCAGCGGATAATAGCCCTAGCTCTGAGTTGCCGAACAGTGCGGGGGAATCAGGACCCCGGGAGAAGAGCGAGCCACCTGCTGACGTCAGCTCGGTTCAGTCATCGGGTGCTCAACTGGATCTCCCCGAAATGAAAGCGCGGCAGCCAAAGCAAGAGGAGGATGCGAACCGGTTGCAAGAAGAAGGCGGATTGACACTCGGACGAAAGCACAGCACAAGGCCAGATTTACCGGCGTTCTTGATTGATTCTGATGACGAAAGCGAGCCGCGTGTGAAGGAGCACAACGGAAAGGACGAGAAGGTGACAGTTCGATGTCGAGGTTTTCATCTCGATGTGTGGATATCCAGCTTCAGTGACGGGCTTCATGATTTCATTGATTGGTCTTAAAACCGTTTGCAGACCGCGGAAGCAACGGGCTATGAGACTATAGGATGGTTTCGATGCTTTCCCCTGATCAATTTGACTTTCTCTATGCAGCTGGAGGCAATGTGCGACCTCTTCGACGAAGTTTGGACCAACAAAGCGCTGGTAAGCGGACGACTGGCCAAGCATTTTGGCCTTTGAAGTTTCGGCTGTGACTTTCTGGTGCCGTTCGTACATACAGCGAATGGTTGCAACCAGAGTGCTCGCCGAAAGAGGCTTTCTTTTCGAGGGTCTCGTAGATACGAGCATAACAGAGACACTGAAGGGATGACCGTGAATGGCTCTTGACAACTTCGAACGCTTCTGTTGATGAGTGCTTTCAGCAACTCGATTCCTTCTATTCGTTTCTCTCCAGCAAGCGACATCATTTCTTTCGAATCTGAACACTTGCGTAGTGCCAGATCGACCAGACCTCTCCCATCTGCGCTGCAGCTCCGCGAAGCTCTATTCTATCTCCACTACCTGAGAACAGCTGACGCAATGAATCACGAGAAACTCGTGACCGCGGGCGTCGACACACGTGTCCGTGGGCTGATGGCATACAACCACGACAAGGTCCGCTGTGCGGCCACCAAACTTTGGGAAAAGCTGCGACTTGGCTTAAACCAGTGATTGAGACCGGATGGTCGATTGTGAAAGTTGAGAGACTCGTCAAGATCGAGCATAGAATGCTGAGTTTGTTAGTTTACAGGGCGTTTAGACTTTTGATACGTAGAGAGTGTGTAGCTACAGTAGTGTGTACTTGCTCGATACAGGCATCGATCCGGCAAGTTGCGAATTAATTCGGAAAATTGCTGGCACGCCCTGCGCGCCAATTTGGCTGCATGCATGGGCCGTGTGCTCTTCACCTCACAGCTGCGATCGTGACACATAAATCTTTCCGCCCGCGCGGTTTCGCAAGTGGGACCGTATGGTCAACGTGCACTAATGCGCCATCCTTTTCAACGGACGTTGCAGTACACAACTGCAGCTCGTCTTATTTGTTCTCGCAGGGATCGGATGCACAAATGATCAAACTCACGAAGAATCCGACGATCGCGAGGTTGCAAAACATCCGCAGGCGTGCAATTATGCGTGATGCATGAAAGAATCAGGTCATAATTGTACCATATCTTGAGTCCGGAATCAAAGTTTGACTCAGGAGGCTCTTCAAAGTGGTATAATATCATCTGAGAATCTGGAGCTAACTCACTCGTATCCATCATGCATGCACGCTGCGCGCGTCCATGATTGCAGAGACTCAAGAGCTAGCTCACTGATCAGCGTCCTTCACAACACTTGGTTTCCTCATTTGCGTGCGGCAGCCTATCTATACAAGCATGCTCAAACAACTCGCAACGAGAGAATCTCTAGTGTACAATTCAGCCGCTGCTTTATCAGATCACCGCTCGACGATCTCTATTCACTGCCGCCGCTGCTGACAGTCCTCGATCTAGGTCCGCCCACAGATCCTCTGACTCTTCAATCCCAACTGAAAGTCTGAGGTGCCCATCGCTTATCCCTAGCTCGCCCCGCTGAGCCACACTTAGCGAGGCATGGGACGAGGAGGCCGGGTGAGACACAGTAGTCGTCACGCCACCAAGCCTGCACCGGACATGGTCCACACAGAATCAACTCCTCCCAAAGCAACGAAGAGTTGAATATTGCATCAACGAGGAGTTCGTGACACACAGTCACCTAAACTGTATCGTTTTGGAAAAGAACGGAAGGGCGAGAACGCAGTAACGGAGCTATGGCAGACGTCACTATCAAGAGAAGCAGCGGCTTTCGTGTTGTTCATGTCTGCCTTGTTTTCTTCATCTATGACTGATTCTCCTGATGAGCACTCCCGAGGGCAGCCAATGAACAATCTGGAGCCGCTGTCCGCAAACAGAATTCTCCGAGCCTTCTGCATGTAGTAAAGCAGTTACCGTCTCTTCACTTCGTAAATCAGCACGCATTTTCAAAAGTACTCGTAGTTTGTCCGAAACGAGGGAGGGACACAAAAAGTATCAGACAGCCAAAAGGGAACTCGCTAAGACTGCAAGTCATCCCTCTCGCCACACTTTCACCAAAATAAGTGGTCAGACGTGATCTCGATGTCTTGCGTTTGACGAACAAGCTGACGTGCCAAGATCAGAAACGTAACCAATCAAGTGTATGGAGCGACGGCAGCGAAGTAAGGGCACTCACGTCGTGGACAGGGTGATTAATCTGAAGGCGGCTACCGCTGCATCCGCCCCCCGAAAACCGCCCACGACAGCAAACGTGACTAGAGCAACTTTCTCGTGCCAGGCAACGGCCGTGACGCGGGGATCCCCCTCGAGCTGGCGGCCCAGCGTGGCCGCGTTTGCCCAGGCCTTTTCGACGCGAACCTATAAGCATTGAAAAAGAAAAAGCTGCAGTCGTTGCAGAAACTCAAGGACTAATAGGATGTAACGGCTGTCGAAGTATTCTGCAATCGAATGGATCCAGCGCGATGATATCGTCAAGTGTGACGAGAATGGTTAGAGTACGCCGAAACATTTGTCACCCTGGTTTGGCGCGTGAAGGTTTCTGAGATAAAGTACTACTCAGAACATGTTCGCACAGCTGGTATGATCGGAGTGGCTCTTCAGCAAACGCTCAACTTCTTTGATTCTCAGCAACTCTCGTCAAAATCTCAAACAAGCTTTTTCAATTAGGCGCTTGCCGCTCAGGCCCCGTCATTCTCTTCATCGCGTTTCTACTTTCCAAAAGAACAAGTGAACACACTCACCTGCAGCGTCCGGATGCCTCGCACCGCCAGCCAAGCGTCCAGCGGGGCCGCCCAAAGGCCCATCCGCTTCACGAAGTCCCTGATCGGATCCACGAGCATCGCTGAGCCGACCACTGCGCCAGCTAGGAGGTCGTGGTGGCCCCCTAGAAATTTGGTCGCGCTGTGGATGACAAGATCTGCGCCCTGCACCGGAGTGACTGGTTAGCGGTGCTCGTTGTACAAAGGAAGTAAGAGGGTGCGTTCGCCCACTGAAAAGAGGAGGGGATCAGCGAGGAACGAAGAAGTTTTGGAATAATGGACTGCAGATGAGGAATCTGGAGGGACCTACGAGACGTCTTTGGTATGTGTTGATTGCCATGCACAGCCATTGGAATTGGATTTCTCGCTCAAAAAGCGGAGGACGGCGAGGGACATCCGCTGATGTTCCTCAGGGCAAGTCTTGGAAACAAAGCTGACGAAGAGGGCTACACCAAGATCTCAAAAGAGACCGAAGTTACTTCCTAATCAGCGAAGCTGCCAAACACTAAGAACTGAAACCGACGTAAAGCCTGTTGTCTCATCCGCTTTCACTAATAGATGTCAGATTCTCAAAGGCTTGTGTTGCTCACCTCCGCCAGTGGCTGCGACCTGAGGGGCGTCCTAAAGGTGTTATCCACTATCAGAAGTGCTCCCGCTCGTTTGGCCAGCTTGGCAAGCGCTCGGACGTCCGAAAGCATTAGCAGCGGGTTCGAAACCGTCTCTGCAAAGATCACCACCTTTCGCGCCCGCCCCCTAGCGCCCGACATCAAACCACCTAATCCCGAATCCTCGCTTGTCGATGCACCCGACTGGCTATCACGGCAAGTGCACCGGCAACTGCAAGTCTCAACCTCCGTCGAGGCTCTTAACCCCTTCTCACTGCCGTTCTGGAGACTCTGCCCCTCGTCGTATAGATTAGGTTCTGTTTTGGCGGTGGTAGGGGCTCTTGGCGCACTGTCCGAGTCTGGTCCGAAAAATAGCTTCTCCAAATGTCCGAGATCGTTGGTGTCCTCAAAACGGACGGTCACTCCGTACCTAGGAAGGTCGCGCCTAAAGAATTCGGTTGTGCCGCCATACGCATCTTGCTGGGCAATCACTAGGTCGCCAGCGCTCACAGTAGACAAGATAGCGGCGGAGATGGCACCCATGCCTGAAAACAAAGGGGAAACCTGATGGCTGCTAGTCTGGAGTTAGTTGTCTGCTGTCCACTCAACAAACTAGGCGGCAACCAGAAGAAGTTGACACTTTGTGTGGAGGATCAGAGGACTGACCTTGAGATGGGATTTATTCAAAAGTTACTGCTGAGTAGGGCTTACATCAGGGGCTTCAAGTGCGCAGTCTCCCACCTATTGGGGCTTCAACTTTCAGACTGACGTGGATGAGCACCACCACACAAAAATATCCAAACAGAAAGGTACACACTGTTCGCTATGTTCTGGCATCCTCCAACTTCAGAATTACAGAAAGACACTGTGCCAAAGATCTTGGTTGTCCTCATGCTCCAAAATCCTGTGCTTAGCCCGCTACTCAAAGCTGCACCATACTTAATAGGAATCCACCTCCACTTCCAAGCGCCAAGAGGTCCCACAGCAACGGAACCGTCAGCCACTACCAAAGACAGGCAGCGATACACCCCCAACCGACCCGCTCATATGGAATCAACATCTTGCATGCTAACATCTTGATGGAAAGGTGGTGCACGGTTTACACCACTTCAGGATACCCCAAACCGCCTCACCTGATGATGTGGCCACCCCCGCCTCGGCCCCCTCAAGCGCAGCCACTGCTGCCCCCAGCTCATGAGCGTTTGGGAGGCCCATCCTGCCATAGCCATAAGCACCCTGGCCCACAACCTGCTCCAACCCGCTGCTTATGGAGTCAAAATCAAACACGCTGGTTTGGAACAGGGGGGTGACGTGGGCGTTGTTAGGGAGGGCGGGGGGGGTGCTGACCTCAGCGGTTTGGGTTCCAAGCAAGGGTTTGCGGGGCAGGCCAGCGTGAGCAGCCAGAGTGCCAAGCAAGAGGCCCTGTTGTGGCGGAACTGAGTGCATCAAAGTGGCTCCGTTGGCTGTCATGGTGGTTGTCTTCCGCTCAAGGCTTAGCGCCTCTGAGTTGCTTCCCTTTACAGGTGTGCAATGCTGCCTTTATAGAATGAGGATATGTAAGAGCCTGCTCAAGTTGCTGCCCTAGAGCCTGCAGGCGCGTTTAGAAACGGGGCAAATGGGGAAGAAGGGGCAGCCAGGCTGAGCCACCTTGAGAGATTCTTCTCCACCTTTTATGCTTCTCACATATTGGCTTGGAGTTACCAAAATTTACTTCCGCAACTCCGTCTATTATGAGGATTGCTGTGAGCGCTAAGACGCGATCAAAACCTACCATAAGTTTCTACGTTTGCCAAATGATCTCAGAAAACGGGGCATAAGGGGCATACGTGGAGGGGTTTGCGACATTCAAAAACCTCAGTTTCAAATCCCTTGTTGAAGGCTGCACTCGCAATTGTGTACTTGTGTGGTCCTGCTGAAGAGGCGCCCCTCATGCTCGTTTGCCAGGGGCCCCATCAGCGTAAGGCTTACGGTAAGCTGGGAGAGCATCAGTTTGCATGTTCCAGTGAAGGATATGATTTGTGGTCGGTTGGGGGAGGTCTGCAAGAAACCCTCGACGGATCGCAAGAAGCAAGCAAAGTCTGTTGGACATGGACCCCTCTCGCTTTCAGAGACATGTGGAATCATTGCGGGAGGCGAATGCCGCTGGCGATGTCCCTTCCATAACGGCTGCGCTAGAGGATTTGTCAAGGGCCACCTATCGAGATTACGTAAGTGATTCGCAGAGCAGGAATGTTGTGATCTGGCAAAAAAGGTTATATTCGAAAACAGACTGGCGGCGCCAAAGGTGTCCTGTTCTTGAATGCAATTCTTCATGCCTGGGTTCGCTCCCTTCTCGTGCAAGACGTTAAGAGTTGGACATCCGAAGTGCACTTGCTGGTCAAAATGAGACTTGAAGGACAGAAGCGTGGAATAGACTGAAGCGTGAAATCGAGAATGAACGATACACATAGCTGCATTAAGTGATTGGAGTAGCTTTGAGCTGACACCACATAGCGTCGCAGTCTGCTTTAGTTCCTGTCTACCCCTTTTCGTGTCTGCATATGAATGCTGCAATTTTAACCCAAACAACATGTGGCCACTGCAGACCATCAAGTCATTCCTCGTAGAGGCTGGGGTGATTCCGGCCCTCGTGAGCACAAGCGAGGTCCTCCCACAAGACAGCACAGCCCAAGAAGCGAATGGCGCCGTCGCCCTGTGCCTCTGGGGCCTCTGCATAGGCCACAGGCCAAACAAGATTAAGGTGAGCCCCTGAAACCATTCATGCTTTATGCACCGTTCTTTCTTGTTCCTGTTCATGTACCTTTCATTCCTGTCTTTCCTGTTAGCAACTTTAGAGTCTGGCTGGAATGTCCAAAGCCGGACAGCTTGTAGGGTAGAATTGCAAGAGTGCTTTATCGCTCCACTTTGTTGAATTCCATCATAAGATTAAGGTGGCACCCGCATGATGCTGTCCGTCAGTCGCCGGGAGCCATAGCTGGTGCATTGCAGTGCCATCTTGATCCTTGAAGTGTTTCTTGAGAATTTGTCTTCGAAATACCTGTCTATCTGTCATTGAACACCAGTACTCCACAACTTTTCAAGAAGAAGGGCCAGATCAGATAATCACGAACTTCTGGATACCTGAGCAGGGATGTGGTTTTGCAGTATTACGAAGTTTTGGCTTTCAGGCCTTTCTCCTCAAAAGTAGCTTCTGCCTTAATGTGGTCAAAATCGATCGCATTCGGCTAAAGTCCTATTAGTGAGGCCATCTTCCAGTCGGATGTTAATCCTACGAACCTCTTACAGATTCTGTTGTCTGAAGGCTAACACAAACTTTGCCATCCCTTTTGCAGTTGGTGGAACAGGGCGGCCTCTCGGTGCTCATCAAGGGCCTCAGTGGTGATGCGCACGAGGACTGTGCCCAATACAGCGCTCTTGCTGTCTGGAGCCTCTGCTACTCGGTGAGGGTGCCAGCTCTTTGTCATCTCGTCATCCTACGAAAAATCGATATTCTTGGATGTGCTGGTACACTCGTGTTGAAAAATATTTTGGCGTCTCGAAATTGTGGACTAGCTCGCACTCAAACAATTTCGGCCGGTGGGGTCCTAGTGGTTCACGGTCTGAGCTTTATGGCTTTCTGCTGATGTGGCACATCAAAAGAGGTCTCCAGTGCACTTTCGCTGGAGCCTTTGACGCTTGCAAATCGGTGAAGAAACTTCGAAGCGGGGCCTGGTTTGCAAGGTCGCAAAGCTGGCAACGAAGCAACGCGTTCGAGAGGGTGTCTCACAAGAGCCTTCAGTGGTCTTGTGCATAGTGGTCCCGAAAATTCTGCTCGAGGCGTTTCAACTGTCCCCAATCGATGCTACCGAGTAAACCCCTCGAACATTGCATGAGCCTCGGTCAGAATTGAGGTAAGAGCTCCACTGAACTGCACCTCTCCGTGGTTTCTCAGGTGCCGGAGAACCAGTTAGCTGCGGCCGCAAGCATTCCTGCCTTGAAGGCCCTTCTCGACCATACCAGCACGCTCGTCCAGGTCAGTCTGTGGAAGTTGTTCTCTTAGTGCGAGCTGCTCCATTTGCCTTCTCGACAAACTTTCTTTTGTCCGACCAGTTTTTGTAGTACGACAAAAGGTCGCTTCCACTATCTTGCTTCGAACCTGTTACTCACTCTGGTGGACGAGAAGACCTCTGACTGAGAGGTGTGCGGCAGAGTACATTAGCCGAAGAAGCTTGTGGAGCTTATTTCTCTTCGGCTTCAGGATCCCGTTGACTAACTTCAATTGCACGGCTTGCTTCTTTCTGCGGCTTACCGAAACGTTTACCACGAGACGCCGTTTTAATCTCTGAAGCCTTTTTCCCTCGGGTACGTTCGTGGGTACTTGGAGGCCGGGCTGTTACCAGCTTCCAATCAGTGTAGTTGTTTTGTGATTGTAAGAAAGTTGGTTGGTCAGGTTCACGCTTGATTGATCAGAGACACAAATGAGGCCGGGGAATGATGAGCAATAGCAAAACGAGATTTCTTTTTCACAAAGATGTACCTTTCCATATTTTACCTCGTTATTTGTCAAAATTTTGTGTATCCACATGCAGTACTCAGCGGCGGGGGCTCTCTGGGCCGTCTCCTCGCACCCCCTGAACCGAGAGCAGCTCGTTTGCGACAGCCGCTTGCTCGCCACTTTAGTTCGTTTCCTTCCCAAAGCGCCGCCCCCCCTGGACGAAGCCCCGCCCCCAGAACCGGCAGCTTCTTTGCCGGCACCCGGGCCTGCTCCGATTAATTGGCGCCCGGTACAAGACAACCGGGCAGTCTCGCAGCATCCGGAAGAGCATGGAGTGGCTCGGGCGTCGCTTTCCGGGCAGACCGATACCAGACTCGGCGAATCCGCTTTGTCCGAAGATGTCGAACCGTCTGAAAATGCTACTCGGTCTGAACCAGGGTCAATCTCTAGGGCGGGGCCAGAAGCTGGGCTGTTACAATTAGGTGCTCTGTTAGAAACTCAACCAGTCGAGCTTGTTGAGCCGTCTGCTGATTCTATAGAACGGGCCAGGCCGGCCGAATCTATGACCTCTTCTAGAGAACCTTTGTACGAACGTGACGCTTCGGCAGAAGTCTCAACGCAGACGTCTCCCCTCAGTGAAGAAGGCCGAAGCCGGTTGCAAGGAGAAAGCTCGGGTGGCGGCGCAATCGAAGGTCGCCACGAATCCGCTTATCGGGAGATTCGCGACAGCTGGCTTGAGGCGACCGAACGGCTGAGCGAGAACCTCCAGCGGCAGACCGACTTTCTCGGACGCCGGACGCGGCGCCTGCGGGGGTTGTCCGGAACGGCACCCAGTCTGTCGGCAGCCGCGGCAGCGGCGTCTGGCGTCGGTCCGATCGGTCCGCTCCCGAGTGACGGGGAGGCTGTGGAAACGGAAACGGAACGTTTGGGAAGCGGGTCAGGGGCTTCGCCTGATAGCACTGTGCCACGTGGAGTGTTGGGGTCAGGATCGGGGGTCCCAGGAACAACGGAGACGGAAACGGTCCTGGCAGAAACGATGGAGACGGTGACACACCTGGACGCGCTAGAAACCTCCGTTGCGTCTGGGCTGGGGTCCGAGAGCGCCGGCGTGTGGGCTGCTCCAATTGAGAGGGATCCCCCGGCAGGCGAAGTTCGGCCTCAGAGCAGCGCCGCAATCGACGAGCTCCGCTCGCTGGTGCGTGCCGAGCGTGCTCGGGCAGAGTCCTTTGTGGCGCGTGCGCGCGCGCTCGTCGCCGAGGAGCGCGCGATCCGCGGCAACATTGGCGCGCTCGAGCGCGAGCTCGCAATTGCGGTCCGCGAACGGGACGCCGCCGTCCGCGAGCGGGACCGCACGTCTGCGGTCCTCGGGCGCGCTCTCGCGGCGCTCTCGTCCGCCCGCGACCAGCTCGCAGCCCTCGGGGGAACCCTCCGAGCGGCAAACGCTGCCGCACCTCCACGCGTTCCGTCAGCCGTTCCGGCCGGAACACTGACTGGTATCACCGGAACCGCCCCGGGAGTCGAACCCGAGGAGTACGAGCTCCTCGAGATGCTGGATTCCTCCCCCGGGGTGCCGTCCCCCGACCCACAACAAGCCCGGAAGGCGTGTCTGATGGCGTGCCTTTTACTCGGGAACCTGTCGCTGTGCCGCGGGGGGAGCGGCACGATGTTCGAGGGGGAGCGGTGGCCGGAGGCGATGGCGGGCGTGCTGCGGTTTGTGACGGGCCTGGGGGGGCTGGACGCGTTCTGGGCGACCATGCTGTGGACGACGGTGCAGCCGCTGGTGGACCTGCTGCAGTCGACGGAGCCAGCAGTGCAGGTAGCACAACAATCTTGACGCAGTTCTCCCTTTAGTAGCGTGGGAAGTCGTGTGGAGTTCCTCGTGACCGTGGCATTTCGGAGCTTTTGTTGCGGCCTTTCTGAAAATTTTGTTTTTCAAAGTGAAGGAATTTCAATCAGTTTGGTCCGAGCGAACATGCCAGAGGTTTCCGAGATTGTAAGCACGTTCGCGAAGTGATTGCCAGACTAGAGAGATCTGGAGAAGGAGCCTGTACTTCGTTGCGAGGTTACAATTTTCAAGCCGCCGAGGGATTGTTAAAGGAATGGGTGGCTCACTAATGCAGGCCGGCTCTTCCCCCTTTGAATTGCTTCGCATGCATTTCTTGCGCAGGCGCTGTCCCTGTTTATCGTGGGGGACTTATGTACAGGCAACGAGCATAAGCACAAGTTCATCATGGAAGGCGCGGTGCCGCACCTTGGCCGCCTCTGCACCTCTTCGTCGCCCCTAGTCAGGTCGGCTGCCGCACACGAGTTCTCTGATCATTACAAACGATGAACGGAAACCGGCGCCAGAGACCCTATTTCCACCCTATGCCCCTCGACCTATACCCCCGGAACTAGCAAGGAAGAGGTCGAGCCCACTGTCTTTGAAGGAGTCGATGTGACAGTCTCGCTATTGACAAATGTCGACGTATCGTCGGGCTTGAACCGTTTGATGAGCTGCACTCGCTTTCTTTCAGCCAAGGGTTTTGACCAGAGTTTGGTGCTACTCAAATCCTGGTATACGAGCTGCCAAGCTGCGAGCTTCAGCCCTGTTGAAAGCACACCTCTTTGAAGAGCCCTGTTGAAAGCACACCTCTTTGAAGACGCCAGGTCTGACTTCGCAAAAAGTTGGTGTCTCAAGACGTTGTGACATTCTCCGTATCCGAAACTGCGAAAGCACACTTCTGTGGTTGCTGCGGAAGTTCGTTATGTGGACTTGGCCGCTTTCGTTGCTTGCCGTGGCCGCCTGTTGGCGGCTAACAGTAGCAAGTGTTTGGGGCGGGACGATGGTTCTAGACAATGTGGCGTACAGCAATGAAAGGAGCAAAGGCGCCTTGACCTTGTCCGGGCACTGTCACAAACATCTCATCGCACTCTTACACGTTTCCGAATCGTTGCAGGAGGCTAGCACGGAACGCCCTTCTGCAGCTGGGGATGCGCCCCTCTGCCGTCGCCTCAGCGGGGGATCCCCCAGCGCAAGAAACGTCTCCCGAGGCCCGGCGCATGGGCAATGATGACGTAAGCGAGTGTGTCATCTGCTGCGATGAGGTCAGCGCCGCAGCTTTCGAGCCGTGTGGCCACGTGGTCTCGTGCCTCCGGTGCGCGCAGTGCCTCGTCGCGAGGGGGGACAGATGTCCGCTATGCAGAGAAGCTATCGTTTCGATGAACATGCGTAAGAGTAGTTTCTGACAGGGGTATGTGGCATTTTGAGGTGGGGTGAGTACTAACGGAGCTGCGAGGTTCGAGAAATGGTCGGTGGTTATGGTGTCAGCAATTGCTGATCGGCATTTGGACGATAAGTTACCAGAGGAAGACGAAAGGCGGGTGACGCGAGGTACAAAAGAGGTAATCAAAGGTGTCGGGAAGATGAAAGCTCGCTCGATTTGAAAGTAGACGTGACCTGTAGGACTCGCTAGACATAGCTCCAGCTGGTTCACATTCGCTGTCTTTGTACATAATAAGCGGTGCCGAAGTTGGTTCGCTCATGGTCCTTCGGCCATGCTTAGAAATGTCAACGCAACATGTGCAAAAACCTTGGAATCCACATGCTCAAGGAGTCTCAGTCAGAGCCGTTGAAGACGTCAAGCTGTGCCCAGGTTGCTTCCTCTATATAAGAATACATAGAGGACGCAGATAGTGGCAGCACGCATTTGCATGCGCATCCTGGCTGCCAGCATCGAGCCCACGGGACTAATGGCAGCCTTTGGCGAATTGAAAGAAGCCCTAGTCGATCAACGCAGATGAGAATGATCGACTCGCAAGATCAATCGCGTGTGCCTTATATGGGCCTATAAAAGCTGTGTGCTATGTTATGACCTGCCGCAACAATTGCGCACATCATGTTCGAGCATTCCTAACCTCTCTCGAAAGCATATGATGAAACTGGAGAGGGATTCGAAATTAACTATAGCTGTGAATTTCCCGCTTTCACGGATTGCCACAAAATCTAGGCCGCTGATTGCAAACACCATGCGGCTTGCTTGCTAGTGTACTGTTGTAGTGCATGTCGCAACTCAACAAACTGATCGAACGTATAACTTGGCGCGGCGCGGCCGTTGTCCGCGCGCAGACAATTGCGCCGCGCGGCCGTTGTCCGCGCGCGGCCGTGGCGACGCTGAAGCCAGACGTGCCGGAGGTTTGGGAAGGGGTTTACAAGCCCCAATGGCAAGAGTAAGATTTGGCGGGTGCAAACTCGAGTGCAACACCAGCCTGAGTCACCTAATACGTGCTACCTATCATGACACTTTCACGAACAGCTTGTGTTGACAGTATTATAGAGGCCTATGCAGGAGCTGCATTCTAGCTCTCGCAGCTAGAATTTTGGCAGCTAGTGGTTTATGAGGAGGCGCCGCCGCCATCTCCTACCCCAGCCCCCCTGCATGGCGGCATGGCTGCAGCCCTTCCCCTGCTGGACAGCGTCTCCCGCGCGCTGACTCGCGGCAGCTTGCCTGCCTTGCGTGCAGCATACCGGCGCTGCTTGCATTGCCAATTGGGATTATCTGCAAGACCAGCTGCAAAGCGCGCAAGGGCTGCCAAAGGTCCTCCTTTTTCGTCCTTGCCAGCCATTCACCGTCGGCAGTCCGTATCCGAAAGTCCGGGACATAATTTCGCTGGTGGTGGTACTGAATTGCTGGCGTGCAAAAACCCGCCCACTGTTCTCTGGTCTCTAAGCTCGTTCCGCTCGCCGTTGCTGGGGGGGCCGATTTGCACCACCTTCTCTCGCACACCACAGCTGACTGACAACCAATTTGGCCACAGCGTTTCTCCACTTTGCGCAGCAGCAATTGATGTGGAGCTCGAGGATGACTATGGCTACAGGGAGGCGGCAGAGTTGGACGAGGAGGAAGAGGAAAGGGAGCCCGCCCGAGCATCTCGGGATCACGGCACGGAGGAGCGCCTGGTGGCCAACGAGAAAATGCTGCAGATTAACAAAGCAGGTGACTGCACAGCCGAACCGTCACATCGTCACACGTTTGTTCCGCCGTACCACCACACGTGCTGGTTCAAATCAGGACTGAGGAGGAAGTTTGAAGTTCGTGAATCAGGACTAGTTGTCTCGCATAGAAGGGGTTCGATTCATCTACACACTTGTTCAACAAGTGTACGCCTTTGGAAAAGTTGACGCCTTCGCAGACAGGGCGTAATGCTCCATCGCTCACTATCGTCCATTCAATCTAAGCTTTCCTCTCTGTTTGCAGACTTTACAGTCAGTTCTTTACTGGACAAGATCTCACGGGCCAAGCTCAACCTGAAACCAGCATACCAGGTACGCTGCTCAGATGCGTTTCTCGGGATTATCACTACAACAACATCTGATGTGACAAGCGGTGTCCCCTGCCGTCAATCCGTGTTTGCGTGTAGCTCAATCAGGCACGAGTAGTGTGAGCTTCTTTCGCAATCGGTCTTGGGTCAACCAAGCCAGCGGGGCATAAGGCTTTGCTGTTGCATGTGCTCAATCGCTGCTGTCACATCCGGTGCAGAGGGACTACGTCTGGGACAAGAAGACGGCTAGCAAGCTCATAGAGTCACTCCTGGTGAGCTGACTCGTGTCCAGCATTTGCCATGGATGAGTCCACGTTGCACACTCTTGGCTTGCTGACTTCCTTTCATCCTGTGTCTCTGACTTCCTTCTTTGCGTTGCTTGTTTCCCAGTTGAGCCCCATCTTAGATGCATGCTCACCTTTCTTCGACTCCCTTACTGTGCGTTACTTATTACGGAGGGGTACTGTGTGCAGCTCAACATTCCCGTCCCCACAATGTTCTTCCACGAAAAGGTATGCCCTGGCCCCCACTCTCCGCAACTTCCCGGCTTAGGCATCAGTCTCCCGTTTCAATTGTCCACCATGCCCTTTGTTTTCTTCTTAAATATACTGTACCCCAGTTTCAGATATCTGCCATAGAGCTACAACCGATGGGTGTGGAATGGCTTGAACTCCCGAAATAACGGATGTTACTCTCGTGAGCATCGTGAAGGCGAATTCGAGGGTGCCAGGATTCCCTTTAGTGATCTAAAATGGGACGAATATCGAAGTCTTTGAATGATGAAAGGAATCAAACAATGCCATGCTTTTAGAACTAGAGGCGGTGACGATGCAGGAGCGCGGCAAGCTGGAGGTGGTCGACGGCAAGCAGCGCCTGACCAGCATATGGTCCTTCATCGTCGAGGAGCGCTTCCCGGACGGCACCCAATTTCACCTCACTGGCCTCGAAGTCTTGCGCAAGGTATGCCTAGAAACCTCTTCAGTTACATAGTTGTAGCGGGCTTTTGCGTGGTCGAGGTGGGCTCGAAGAAGCGCACTGGTTTGAGGCAGGCACAACGCCAGCTCGCAGCTGCAGCTATAAGGTCGAGGAACTTTCCTCGAATGCATGTTATCAATGGCCATCTTCGCTTGCTCGGCTGTTCGAAGGGAAGATAAACTTTGATCTATGATCCTGTACAGGCAAGTAAGCCGCGCAACCTTATTTTGAAATGTCGGAGTACAAAGCTGTGCATCCTTTCGTTGACAAGAAGTCTTCGGTTTGACTACGAAACTTTCGTGTTGCTGCGCTAGCTGTTTGCATTGGTCCTAGGACTGCCAAGGATCGCTCTTTATATCGAACTCAGGAAAGATACTTGCAAGGACGTTGATGAGATCACTTGACTAAGGACGGATATCGTTGGATTGGAGCTTAGGAGTTGGTAGGGGTGCGGAGGAGGTACCTTTTGCGGTCCGATTACTCGTAGCCTGACCTTATTCTCTTGGTCTATGAACACTTTCCTAAGATCCATGCTCTGTGTGTGCAGCTGAACGGTCTGCTGTACAGCGACTTGAACGACGACCTCAAGGAGTCGTTGCAGGACTACGCGCTTAACGTGCACACCATCAGCCGCCACTCCGACGAGGACGTCGTGTTTGAGGTGCGTTTGCATTTCGTGATCGTTACAAAACGTGGAGCCACTCTCAAACAGCCATGTACCAAACCGTGGGAAGGCGAGTTCTAAGAATAAGTATCGAGGTCTTGCGCACACCGCGGTATCTCCTTGGAGTATCGGTTTCGGGGCACCGGCCTGGGATTCCCATCCCTTGGCACCGTTGCACCCCCTCTGATTCAATCATCACTTTGCAACACGTCCTTCGTAGCAAAGTCTGGGTCTTGTTGCGAGGTTCGTGCCTTAATATAGCTCAGGAAAGAAAGCCGTCGTACGATATCCTTTTCGGTTGCCCACGTAGAACCTTGTCCCGCACGCCTATTCAGGTGTTCGATCCGGCCTCCCGTCCTGACCGACTCAGCGGCATCCGCCGGTCTTGGTACTTTTGGCCCCATATACCCATACGCGGATTGTCCGATGCAAAGATGGATTGCAGTGAATGTTTATTTACCTTCCTTTCATGTTCAGGTGTTTGAGCGGCTCAACATGGGCTCCACGCAGCTGAACGAGCAGGAGCTGCGCAACTGCATCTACCAGGGCACGTACAACAGCCTCCTCGAAGACCTCGTCCTGGACGGCTACATGCTGCTCGCCATGCACGCCGACGCGCCGCACAAGAGGTGACTGGTCTCGAGTTGCATTTGATAAGCCTACAAGTCTGCGTAGGGCATGCATGGCCACGTCAAGCAGTCAACGGCGATGGGCCCCCGAGAGGCTGTACCTTAAGTTTAGTCCGTGAGAAAAGGCTTAGACCTACTGAGTGTGCATTCATGAAGCTTGGAGCTCCGACGCGCATTATTAAGGTGATTAAGTCGAGCTTTGTCCTTCACTTTCTTGGTAGCTTTTCCCGTCCTCAGGAGGCGGCACCCCGCAATTGCCTCCTCCGTTTCGTGGGACCTGTTCTCGCTTGCACACTGCGCCGCGCCCACTGTGATCCTGAAGCGTGCGTGGTGCCACGTGCAGGATGCGCGACCGGGAGCTGCTGCTGCGGTTTTTTGCGCTGCGCACGACCGGCGTCGAGGGCTTCATGCTGCCCGTCAAGACGTGGCTCAACGAACAGATGCGCCAGTGAGCCCCGCCCCAAATGATCCTGGAAGAAAAAAGCAGTAGCCCAAAACGTGACGACCAAATCCTGAGAAGGAAAAGGAAAAGTAACAGGACTGGGAAAGGCAAGATACAATCAGCCGCACTAAGGACCGATACCCTGGACTCATAAGTTCACCTGTTTCACACCGCACCTAGACACCAAAATAAAGCGTACCCGTCCCGACAGGGTGAACTTGATGTTGTCCTGGCTTTACACTAATATCTTGACTTGTCAGTATCCTTCTCCACATTACCCTATTTCCGCATGAACAAAGTTTTCCCTGACCCCTAAGTTGCAACTTCCAATCGTGTCCTTTAGTATGATCGCGCGTGGATCCCCTTGCGTGCAGCAACATGGACGTGTCGACCGAAGAGGCGGCAGCCATGAAGGCGGACTTCGTGCGGAGCGTCCGGCTGGCGGTGGAGGTCTTTGGAGAAGACCACGTATTCCGCGTCCTTCGGTGAGCCTGTTTCCGGCTTCTGGGTTTAGACTTTTGGGGTCGTTGATTCGTGATCTTCATTGACTGGGTCGCCGGCATAGAGAATTGTGCTGTGTGAGAAATGCTGATACGCATTGCGATAACAAACACGGAGGCTGCAGTCAATAGGGTAGGGTTCATTAGGACACCAAACCAACCGATGTGAAGGCGGTATTCAGTGCTGATAAGACCGAAAAGAGATTTGCATCTCCATTTTATGAGTTGCTTAGTCTCCTTCAATCCTGCGATCACGCGGATCGGCCACCATTGCAAGTTTCGTGACCGGCCGCAACGGCTACTGGGCTGCCTCCTAGCGTTGCGGCACCAGAAACGTCTCTTACGAAGGTGTAAGAGGACATCATATCGTGCGCGAGTCGCAGCAACTTCCAGTCTCCGAGCATTCGTTTGTTTCGACCACCAAGCCATTGAGCTTCATCTGTGTAAGCGAGTGACGGCTGAATTTGCGCAGGAGAGCATGCGGCAGCTGGGTAACTAGTGTGGGGGCGTGTCGTGCAGGCCCGGAGTGCGCAAGGCGGACGAGCCCAAGTGGGACTCGGAAGTAAATGTCGCTCTCTGGGACACCGTCATGGTTAGTTCTGTATTCCCGCCGCACATCGCGCATCGCACATCACTTAGACGATTTGTCGTTCTTTTTAAACCTCCGCGGCATTGGTTCAGATTTAGAAAGGTTAATCCAACAACTGGGTGTGCCAAGTGCGCTTGTTGTGCTCACAGATCAGAAAAGCAGAAGGAGAAAGAATTGCGTCGAAAAAGTCGCTCCTACCGAAACGCGCTTAAACGGCTTGTTTGCCCTGTGCAGTTCGGTTTCTTGCAGTTTCAGGACGATGACGGCATCCTGGCGGCCCGGAGCGAAATCAAGAAAGCGCTCATGGACCTGATGACAAAGGTAAGCCAATGCGATGTGCCAAGAACATCCACGTTCTGGCTGCTAATGCGCGACAGGTACTCCCATGTTTCGTCCTAGTGCGAAGTGGGAAAGAAACGAAGCAGACACGATGAAGCCTATGCTTATCAGGTGCTCTTGCAACAGAGAACCCTTCAGGGACCCTCTTTTAAGAACCAACTGATAATTTTCCCCTTCCTGATTGACATGGTATGCGAATCTTCTTAAGTGCACTTTTGTTGAGACAATGAACTTATTCAATCTTCAAATGCAGGATACCGAATTCCGACGCGCACTCGTTTCCAGCAGAAAGGCACTCAAAACCCGCTGCGGTAAATGGAATAAAGCACTTGGTAAGGTCCTCGGTTCGCCACCTGTAAGAGACTAGGGGTCTCTCAAAAAAAGGTGGGACAACTCGAGATCGTCAAGGTCCAATACATGAAGTTGGAAAAGTTCAGTCGATGGTTCTAAAGTTGGATGCCATCAAGATGATGAGCACGTGAGAACGCGACCGGTGCTCCCATAAGATATATGCCTACTGTACATTTGACTACGGGTCTTCCGTACCAAGCCACGCACCTGGGACAAACCAGAACTTCAATATGGATGACGTGCACTATCCCTTGCATTCATATGGCAAGAGCGCAAAAGTGGCCGGACACGCAGGAAATCAATAGAATTGCACATGTGTGGTCGACCGCCGCACACGCGCGGCAAAGTTCCCTGGCCTAGCTCACATGAGAACTGCATGAGTAAACCAGCTTTATAAAGGCCATATTTGACCACAGAGTCGTGTTGAACATGTGGAACGACTTGATTGCTATTATGTATAGGCCGCATGTACTGATGCACATGCAACATGGTTCATCCGCGGTTTTGCCGCTCTGGGGGAATAGATAACGCGTACGAGATTAGCCAATTACGCGAACAATGCTCACGCAGCCGTTAAATGCTCAATTGGATGATTAGGCTGCACGACCTTGCCCATAAACTGAGCGTCGAACCGGCGTACAACATCACGCAACTTTAGTTCCAAGACGCGGCCCCTTCGAACGCCACTTGAGCCCCTCCGAGCAGACTAGCAACTCCCATTACGCCCCGTTCTGCTTCGTTTCCGTGCTCGCCCCCTCCAGCTTCCTCAGAAACTCCAACGTCTTAGTGTACGCAACATCTTGCCGGTTCAGCGGCTTGCACGCGTTCACGTGATCAGTCCCTCTGAGCACAATGAGATCCCCAAAGCCCGGATAGGCTGACTCTATTGGCACCACTTCCATGCGCAGCTTCACGCCGCCGTACGCCTCCACGACGGGGGTCACCTTATCCTCGCTGAAGTTGATGACGTCCACCTGGCGAACGCGCATTGGACGGCGGGTTAGGCAAGCAACCTCCGGTTAGGTTCCAAACCTCTGCTCTGACTTCTGCATGACGCCTCGGTTTACGTGCAGACGTGCAGGACCACTCCGAAGGCCCAAAGAAGGAGACGCTTGCGAACCATCTGTTTTGACGTGTATAGGACGCTGAATGCGCGTTAACCCGAAAAACCCGGACATCACCCTACAGAGCCGGCTTGCTTACATTACCCTTCAGAAGCCAGTTTGAATGCCGGTTTGTTTGGGGACCGCGAAAACTGCCCACCTGAGTTTGAGGCTTAGGACTAGGCTACGGAGTCTGCGTAATCAAGCAATTATGGAGACAAACATGTGTACATCAGTCGGATGCCCTGGGGATCGCCTCAAGCACTCAACCACTCACCCGGCCCTTCTGGTACTCCTTTTTGAGCAGCTTGTTGAGCTCCTCCAGCCGGGGTGAACCAGACCGCAGCTCGCCGACCTGCGAGTACCGGATGGGTTTTGCTCACCGAATTTATGCTTGTGCAAACCCTGCTCGAAAATGAGGCACTATCCATGGACAGTTTTCCGGAGATGTAGGGCTGGGTAGGCAGAAACAGAAGTGAGACGCAGGTGTCTAAGTTGACGTCTCCATCCGAGGCCGGTGGGAGGCCAGTAGAACAAACGGGCACTTGTTGGTGGTCAGGGAAGAGACGTGAGGATGACGCAAAGAACTAAGGGAAAAGCACACAATTACAGAATGGAGGCGAAACGGAGGTTAAGAACAGAGTTGGAAATAGTAGAAACAACATCAATCTTTGAAGTCAACTCACTGCGGCCGCTGGCCGCAGCACGACGCCCATGCGCGAGGGCAGGTCCGCGAGGCGGCTGCCAAAGTGCGGGCAGCTGTAGAACACGATCCCCCGGATCCGCTCCCCGAGCGCCCGGTACTTCTCCTCCGACCGCACCAGCTGCAGCATCTGCTTCGCAACCAGGCCCCCCAGCGAGTGCGTCACAAAAATCACCGGGCGCTCGCCAACCCCGGCCGCGAGCAACTTTTCCAATAAGTGCGCGCTTAACTCTTGCAATGGGAGGGTGGCCCCCGACCACTCAGTCAGGTTGGTTTTGTACTCGGTGGACAGCAACCGGGCGGAAGGCAAGTCTTTCGCGAGCCAGTCGGTGGGCCAGCAGCCGTCGCCCTCGCGCGGCCGGTCCTCTTCCCGGAGGTCTTCTACCACCCCCCCGGCTTTGATCGCACTCGTTTTGTCGTCCGTCATGCGCCAGGTTTTGTACGCGCCCCCCATGAGGCCGTGGATGAAAACCACGTCGAGTGCCGGCTCGGAGATCAACGGTTCAGGGCAATCCCCCTTTTCCGGGGGGTGGGGGAGCTGTACGGGGCTAGATCGGGCGCCGCTTGCGCCGTCGACCTGACCCTCTCCCGCTCTAGTTGCCGCTGAGTGCATGCTAGCCGGCGCGTTAGGCAACAGCTTCTCTACTCCTACTTTGACCGCTACTTTTTGCCGTGACGTGACCTCGCCCTGTCTGTCCGAAAACTCCTGCAGCACCTCGCGGACACTGTCCGCTGTATCACCCGGCTGATCATTCCCAGTGGCAGCGTCCGGTTTACTTACTCCCTCACTTGTTCCGCTCTTTCCGTTTCGTTCAGTTGCGTCGCCCTTACTATGCTGCGCACCAACTGCTCCGCTTCCCTCAGAGGCTATCCCCTCTTCCGCTTGTTCCGACGCTCCCACGCTCTCAGTTCCGAGCGACTCTTCTCCCTTCCCTTCGCCTATGACCGTCGCCGCTGGGTGCACCAATCCGGGCACTTCGCCCTCGCTCTCCTGCCCACTTTCTGCCTCCCCTTGGCCTGCGCTTCCTACTGGGACCTTCGCGCTCGCCGCTCTTCCACCGTTCGAAACTTCCCTCTCACTCGAAGCCCCCTTCAAAGCTCCGCCCTCCCTAGCTTCCTCAACTTTCGCTGCTTCGCCCGTTCCATTCGAACCCAGATCCGTTACTCCGGCCGATTCGTTCGCAATCTGACCTCTCGACCCTCCACTCAAGCACGTGCGAAAGTGCGGGGCGGTCGGATCAAGCAGGTAGATTCCGTCAAGGTATCGAGGCCAAGGTTTCAGTTCCAGCCCCTCCCCCTCTCCCGTCCCGCACCGCTTCCAAAACGCGAGGTGCAACAGCGTCTCCTTCGCAAAACTCCGCAGTTTCAGATCGCCTTTCTGGGCTGCCACCCGCCCGTCGGCGACCTCTTCCAGCCAGTTCACCAGCGCCTGGTCGCCCCCAAGAAGCGCCCCCAACTGCGGATGAATCGACAAATTTGCCAGAACTCGCAGCGCATGACGCTTCACATACGGCCGTTTCTGCTTCGGCGGCTTCGCGGGCGCTTTCCCGTTCTCCTTCGTCACCCCCGCGCCCTCGCGCGCGCTCTGCCACTGCTGCGTTGACACCGTCGCGCCGAAGTGGGCCGATCTCAGAAACTGTGTCAAGAGCGCGTAACCCCCCGCGTCCAGCACGCGCCGCTGCCGCGCGCCGTCCTCGGCGATCACCTCCGCCAGCGCTTTCAAAGCGTTCGACACCGCGAGCAAAACGTCCGCTTCGGCGACCGGCTTCGGCGGGCCCTTCCTGCCGCCCCCGAACGAAAACCACCCGCGCTTCTCCGGCGCCACGTCAGCTGCCACGTCAGCACCAACCGTCACCGCCTGCTGGGCCATAACTTTCTCTAGCTGGTCGAGCGCGGACTTCGCAGCAACCACCGCTTGGTTCTGCAACACTCCGTGTGCGTCCGTCGGTTTCGGGCCCGCTTTTTTGGCGTCGTTACCGACAAGCGATAACAGAGTCGCCAGCCATGCCTCCATTAGTAGTTTCCCGTCGGGTCCAAGCGCATCGATGCTCAATTGAAGGGTCGCAGTAGCGGACGCACGGACGTCGGGGGGGCTCGCAGGATGCGACGTCCACTTGAGGAAGATCTGCGGAGAGGCGTAAACGGTTGGTAAGCTGTGCTCAAATCAGCCGCGTATGAGAGACAATCGTCGATGGTCATCTGTTTCTTGAGATCCATGAGAATTCGACGTAAGTGCTCCCTTCTCGTGAGAAGCAGAAGCCCTTACTCACCTTCGAGGAAACACGAGATCGTTGGACTGCATGAAGGGTCTCTCGGCGACTATACAGGGCGGATCATCAGTACGCTTGATGGGGCCACAGTCGACCAAACACTAACACTAGCCAGTGGCTATCTTCGCAGACCGCAGCCTCCAGCGGCGATCCAATCCGGTTGCACCGCCCTTCTCTTCTCTCCAGCCCCGCACAGAAGAACAAGTACAACTGTCACGACACACATGACATCTCACCGGGATCCAAAGCTTCAGCTCGTCCTTGTCCACGTCCCCCTCCCTCGTCAGCAGCTCCAGCAGCCCCGCCAGAGGCCGCTGCACGGCGCCCCCCAGGCGCTCGTCGGCCGCCAGCCGCCGCAAAACCCCCAAACCCTGCGCGCCCAGCCACCCGCGGCTCTCGGGGCTCCGGTTGGCGCACGCGCCGAGCGCTCGAACGCCCGTAGACGCCAGGGCGGAGATGCCCCCCGGGGAGAGGCGGCTCGGGAGGGCGGGGTCGTGGAAGAGAGTGCCGGCCAGCATGCCAAGGAGAGGGGGGGTCCACGTGGCAGCCGCGCCTTCGGCCCTGGATGAGGGGGTGGAAAGAATTGGTGATTTGAAGGAATCCAGGCAGTCTTTCCTTGCATGAAACCAAAGAAGTTCCAACGGCAAGTCCTTGGAAAAGGTAGCCCTCACCACCTGTGCTATAAAGTTCAAAGACCTACGAAAGATCAAGCGGAGAGGGTTACGCTTTATCAGGAATGTGGTGAAGGATAACGCGTGACCAAGTCGGGCAAGATTATACCTGACACCAAGCACCTATTGTTAAACGCTTCTTGATCCCTTGGTTTCTTTATAGACCGGAATACACGAATTATCAAAACCTTTGATGATGCAATTCTCACGTCCGCAGGGATCACCAACGATCCTGCTAAAGCCATATCGAGCAAGAACTAATTATGTCGTCGTTCAATCTGGAAATGATGGGTCTTTCGACTCAGGCGCTCTCCTTCAATGCAACAAACAGAAGGCTTGCTTACCACTCCGTCTGGTCTTTCGCAAGCTCCTCGATCGCCCTCGCCGCATGAAACTGCACGCTCGGATCGGGGTGCCTCAGCGCAGCTTCGAGCGCTCCCCCATCGCCGTCCAGGCACGCAATCTGCTCCCTGTTTTTCGGCGACCCCGCTGCCCACGTGGCAACAGCCCACGTCGCCAGCTGGCCGCCCAGGTTGATCTCGTCCAGGGCGGGGCTGCTCTCGCCCCCCAGTAGGAAACTACCGAGGCCGCTCGGCCCGCTGCGCAAAGGGTGATCTCGGCGAACTACACCCGGAATATGATCCGGGATGGTGAATCCTACCTTCCGAGGCGTGCTGTTTACTGCAGACTGTTCTAGCGGTGGTACACTGTCCGCAAAGACTCCTCTGAACAAGCCGAATGGTTGTTGACTGATGAACAACGGCTGGGAACTTGAAGTAGATGCCTGGGAATGGCTCGATCTCCGCTTCTCGTCCCCCTGACCGACCGCGGCGCTCCTTTCCGACGAAGGGATCCCTTTCAGGTCGCCTTCTAAAACCTCCCGGCCTGAAGAAGAAACGCGCTCGCTTCCTTCCCAAGCCCGCTGAACGCCTACGATAGACGTGTCTCCCAAAACCCGGATCCCGATGCCCTGCACTCCGCCGCCGTCCCTTCCGCCCAGGCCCCTCTTCCGCCGTTCCTCTTCTTCGTCCAAATCCCGCTCAAACGAGCGCATCTCTTGCAACGCCGTGGCGATGTCGTCAGGGTCTGCGTCGGAAGACAGGTGGATGCCACGTGTCCAGCTGCTGACGTCAGGCCCCGCGACGAGCTTCGCGAGAGAAGCGACCAGAAGCCTCTGGCCGGGGTGGGCGTGGTCGATGTCTTCTAGGTCCTGCAGAGGGGGTGGAAGCTGAGGATAAGTCGCTGTATGACGGAGAACAAAAGCTAGGCCTCCTTATTCGAGTCTCCATAGCTGCATTTCAGAGCGCTGCGTGTGTAATCGCTTGCCAATGAATTTGCTTTGTCGACTTCGTCTATGGTAAAAGAAGGGTCACGGAGGACGATTGAGCAGCAGGAGGGATTACTCGAATCGTTCTTGCCCAGCAGGACGTCTTACGAAGTAGAGCACGACTCTTCAAAGCTTAACGGAAACGGGAACATAATCTGTATGATTGTCGAAGCTCCATCGTCGTCAAATGCAAATCCATTCACCGCCCCCTCATTCCTTAGCCCTCAACCCAACAAGATTCTAGCACAACTTATCAACTGAAAGTTCTTAGACGAACTCGAAAATGGAAGAACCAAACCAAGCCTATCAGAACCAGTCGAAGACATTTCCGCTGAGGTCTCACCTCTTCCAAGTCCCAGTCCCTGGTTGGGGGCAGCATCTGCACCCGTGGCAACATATCACAATACTTCAACAGCCGCGGCACGGCCCCCCGCTGCGCCAGGACCGCCCCCGCCGTCCTCTTGTCGTCCAAAAAGTAGCCCAAAGCCCGCGCCGCCTCGTTCCTAACCGCAGGTTCTTCCCGGCTGACCTGCCCCAGTAACCACCGCAGGATCTTCCCCTCCCCAGCGCGCGCGATTGCGTTCCGCCGCTCGCGATTCGCTGCAAAGTCAGCGATTAACGCCGCTATGCGAGCCCGTAAAAGCGAGCGCCCCCGACTGTGCACATCCTCCATCTCTTCCAGAGGGCCCCAGAGCACTGTCACGAGACAGCTCGCGAGCGCCCCCGCAGATGACGTCATTGCCGATGTGGCAGCCGACAGCTCTTCCCATTGCTCGGCGGCTGCGCTCGAAACCTCGCGAGCGCGGGCCCGGACCTCATGCGCAGCCCCGCGCATGCTTTGGGATGCGGAGCGCATCACCGCCCGAGGGTCCGTGTTCAGAACCTTGCCAGGTGTCACGTCGCCGTTGGCCACGACGGCTGCCCCCCCGGAGAGAAGAAGCGCGGCCAGAGCGCCGTACAGGAGGGTGCGTCGGGCGCTCTCAGGGGGACGTTGATGAGGAGGTGTGCTTAACGAGGGGTTTGGAGACGATACAGAGGGGGCGCCGCTGAGATCGGATGAGAGGCCAGGCGTTTCGCTGCTGAGCCCCCTGAATTCGTGGGCAGAGTGGTCGTTGAGGGGCTGGAAAGGCTGAGCATGACCAAAGTGAAAACGCTGGTCTCTGTCGGTCCTGTAGTGGCGGACGCTGCCGTGTGCTGGCAAGAGGGCACACTTCAGACCCGAAGGGTGATGCAGCAAGGGGGAAAGAAGTCTGCCGGGAAGTGGCTGTGAGAAGCGACCCCCGCTTTTTGCCGCTGACGTCTGCTGGCCCCTTGGAGAAAGACTTTCAGCACTCTGAATAAAGGCAGACTCCCTTTTGTCAGAGCCGTTTCCTGTTATGCTCCCGCTTGCGGCTCTCCGTTGAAGATCAGACTCTCTTTCACACTCCGGACTTGAGGACCTTGCCCCAGCATGCTCTTGCTTGCCCCCCCTGGCCCCTACTCCTAGACCTTCATCAGAAGTGCGCCAAACTTGGCCACTTTCTGCAACTGAGTCCCTGCGCTGGGAAAGCTTGCAGAGAACTCGCCTACGCAGGGCCATGTTTCAGCCCAGTCCTCTCACAGCTCTCAGGCAATCATTGCAAGGGCCATGCTTGATTTTCAAACATGGAGTCCTGTCAAATGGTTCATCGACATGGACAGGCCAGAGGCTCAGAGAGCCCCGCCACCACCAGAGCCGTTCTGCAGGGGGTAAAACAAGAGTTGCATTTCAATCAATCAATCTACCCAGAAGCTGTGGTTAGGAACAGCGAACAAGTTAACTGCACAAAAGGTTGAACCTTCCGTATTATACACCTGAAAGCCTGAAGGCTGCCCCAAAGTCACGGTGTCTAGTACACTGCATCTGCCAAGAAACAGGGTAATCAAAACGACCGAACGAAATGACAATCAACAACTTCCTGCATGCGGAGCTTTACCCTCATAGTGGTGGTTCTGAACGACTATAAATCGCCGCATCTTTCTGACCTAGAAGATGGCGCTTTCCATCTTGCTCTCAAACTACTCGGAAGAAATCATATTATACATGTGAAGAATGCTGAACTTTTTTACTACTCTCTGGATACTTTGCATGGACTCAGTCAGGCACTTCCACAACAATATACATTTCAACAGCTGTCACAACATTGTTGGATGAGAGCTGCACCACTAACGATGGCCTGCTGTAAAGCAGACCAGCACCATCTCAAAGGTTTGACTTGGGCCTGTAACAAGTTCTCACCTCTTATATTTCCACAGCGTCACAGCATTCTGTCAACGAACTGTCCGGCGCTCACGATTCCAAGCAGCTCCCTACAAAACGAACACCCCTGGACTTGCAGCAATGTAGAACATCAATGCAGCTTCTTGAACTCCTACAATTTCAAACAAGCTTTGGAAGCTGCTGTGCTGCTTTTTGTTGTGAACAGCCTCTGGCATATTGTGCACTGTCATCAGCTGGAAATTGCAGACTCAAGTACACCCGAGGGTGAAGCGGGAACTCCCCGGGTATGAGTTGCCGGGAAAATTAGCCCTTTCGCGGCCCCGGTTACCGTCTCGGGCTTTCGCTTGGGGGATCCCACATGGGCCTTCCGGCCATACGGTAGTTTTCGTGAAAACATGGGGCGAATCGCTCCGATCGCACGGCTTCGCGGCGAATTTGCGCTCGATCGCGGAGTTGCCCCGGGCACGCACTTGGTCGACCCGGAGCAGCGGCTACTTCGGGCGACCGTGCTCGGATTAAAGCATGGGTTTTGGTTTACCGGTTGTTAGAGGAAAATTATAGCCAGAATGAGCAGAATTTAAATCATTTGTGTTGGACGTGCTATATGTGATTTGTCTGAGCGGATTTTTGCGTTTATGGTTACACTGGCGGTACGTACTGGAGGCTACTGGAGGCTCGTCAGTATCATTCCGTTACCTGAGTCGGTCTGGACCACTAGATTCCAAGGAACGTACCGCGAGAAAAACCCTAAAGGCTGACACATGTTGGACGTCATCGTTCTTGGTCATTCAGTATACCTCGAAACGTTCAATGCAGCACTGAGAGGAGCAGCTGCGCAATGCCATCCTGCAGCTGGCCAAATAACCTTTTTGAGGGTGCTCATGATGGGCAATCAGAAATTGCCCGCATTCCTATGCTCCGGCCCGGCGCTCCTGCTGGCTGGCTTGGTGTTAAACCTACTATCACGATGAATCAATTAGAATGTTTGCACTGTTGTTGATGCACCACTGCTAGCATCATTCCATCGTCACGTGATTGTTACCTCTTGCTAGACTGGGCAGCTGTGCCTCGGAGAATAGGACCTGTAGAACCTGAGAGAAGCTAGTTAAATGTCCAATGCTGCCCCCTTTGCTGCCCCCTTGGTTGACTTTGACCCAAGACAGTACGAGGCAGCGCCAGCCATTGCACTGTCAGGGAACTCCCAGCTGCCAACTCAAAGCTGCCTTTGGCAATGCACCGACCTGTCAACCATAGCAAGCGAGAAACCAGACTGGGTTCTCATGCTTTGCAAAGAAGCATACCTGAAAGCTCTTCCAGGTAAGTTGGAGATCAAGGTAAGTTCCAGGAAGAATGATGCAGTTCAGGAATTGCAGCCAATCTACGCTGGCTTGGGAGCTGAATAGAGCCCCAATTTGGGAATGGCCGCAGGTTTTAGAGATTGATTTAACTGTTCTGTCAGGTTGCATCTTTCAGGGAGCCATGGTTTCAGGATGGTGGCTAATTTGAGCTGGGTTCTGCGTGACGACGACGGTTGGCAGGTGGTTTCGCCCCTTACCAGCTATTTTCCTTCACAAAGCTTCAAGGCGAGGTTCACAGGACACTTGATATTTTCATAAGTGGATTCGCAGATTCAAATGGCCTCGCAGAATTCTCTTGATGGTTTTGACAACTGAGCAGCATCGTGCACTTATCAGTCTGCCTTGATGAAAGATGAGCTACGAACAGAGTCCTGCTGCTCATTTCTGCTCATTGCCTCTGCACTTTTTTGGTAACTGCAATCCCGAGAGCTTTCTGCAAAGCTAGCTGGCTAGCTCCTTCTGCGCAGCCCTGTGTTCTTGGTCAAGCCCCAAAACCCCCCCAAAAAATCATCCTCTTGAGGAGACCTTCGTGTTTCAGTCATTCCTTGTACATCTTTCATGTAAAGGACTGCGCCTCTTTGTTGTGTTTCTTTGTGACAGTCTAGAGTTTGGTCACGTGCAAACGCCCCAAGTGAAGTTGTCTTTGTCTCACAGGTGCTCTTGACTGGGCTACCTCTTCAATGCTTTACTCCGGATGGTCTACTCTTCACAGCAAAGAGTTGCACTACTTTTGATAGGCTTGCGGCCGGTTCCTTCTACTATGAAACGAGGCGAGGTTCCTTCCAAAAATAGACATAAGAAAACCAAACTTCAGCCTGACAACAGGGACTGGGCACACATGATAACAAGTCACGAACCTCTCAATAGGTATGTTGTGTGAATCGGAAAAGTAAGGACGGACGCTACAGGGGCATGGGATCGCTCTTGCAAAGTGTTTCATAGCAGAAATTCGAGCGGGCCTTGCATCATCAGAAGATGCTTGCTTTCAAGTCAGCTTTCCTGGTGACATACCGATTTGCGTTTCCGGTTCTCTCTTTTCTTTGTCTCGTCCCCAAGTTACGAGTTTGTTTGAACTCAAACATCTCAAGAAACATCAGGTCACCTGTTTGCTCGAAGGTGATATCGAAGTCAGGAGCCGTAGTTCAAGCTTTATGGACCGTTTGCTTCCTACCGACCAAAGTCGGCAATCGTGAGAGACTAGACATTTGAGGTTGAAAACTGCCCCCGTTGTGGAGAAGGCTTTGTATGGTGGAGCTGGCGAGGTCGCGGCGCATGGCCGCATCTTTTTCGAATCTTCGTCATGCAATTCTGTGGTCGCTTGCAGAAATGGGGTCCGACCTCGTGAACGACCAGCCGTTGCAATGCTGCCAACTTGCGAGTCAAAAGTTTGAAAAGAGGAAGCAAACGCTCGGGAGGTGAGTTTGCTGTATTGCAGCCCGAATTGTTTCAAGCTTGGCTTCAAAGAGTTCAGATTCAAGTCCAGCCATACTTTTCTTGTTGCCCGCGCTGAAGGGTCCATGCCGGATTGACGGCACACTGAATCACCTTCAACGGTTAAGCGAGTTGATTAGGACTCGGTTCTCATTTGAACTCGGCAGTTAGCACGGTGCAGAAGCATGAGATGATGTTCTGCGTTTCCTGTCCGAAGCAAATGTGAAGCTAAAGTACGTACAAAAGAGGATCGACGGTCATAGCAAAACAGGGACGCGGGTGCTGCCACCTTGCCCAAAAGGCAGTCCGTTGAACAGGTTGTTAGAGCGCACTTTCTTAGGCTCTCGATCAAAAGTATCGGGCGGTTGAGCCTTCACGTCTTCGAACACCTGTACCGCATGCGAGCCCCTGATTTCCAGATGGAAAGTGCACTCACCAAAGAACGAAGGTCCCTAAACATTGCCACTTTCGTTTTGCAGGAGGATAACAGCCGGCCAAGATTTCTTGGTCTTGACTCCCCATCCCTGCCTTACAAGAGTCGAATTCCCGGCCTATCAATTGACCACTTCCATCGTGTAAACAGGATGGTGACTTATATAGGCCAACAATTAAACTTACATATGTAGTTGCAATCGTCACTGCAAGAGTCATGACTGAAGATGAAAATCGATTGTCGGACTGCTTCCAAGTACAAGTTTTGACGGTTTCGTTCAGATCAACTTGCCGCGGCCGAGCTTACAGTCGAAACGTCATATGAGCATAGTACGTGATTATTGGTGGTACCATGAAACCGAGGCCGTGCCGAGAGCCTCGTGCATATTGACAATGGTCCCTTAGAGGTTTACCCGCGCGGCCGTATATACGCACAGTGCGTACACACGCGCGCATGCCAAGCTGATACGCATTGATCGGCCTGGCCGGCCATACATGCAGCATGTTAGATATATGCATGGTATATCAAGGCGGGACCGCTTACCGTCAAACATGTCGGAGGGTAATTGATTAATTCAGGGCCCAGGGCCGGGATCGTGCACTCATCATTGCATGGCTTCGATGTTTCACAACGCGTGGTGTGCACGATTATTGCAGTTGCAATTCCGGGGTGAGTACGGGAGTTGGACACCAGTATATGCTCTCATCATAAGGGCGAAGTAAGTAAGATAATGTCCATCATACCCAGAATTAATGTTACCAATCAAGAAGGCCTGGCTTTTTTTGACGCACGACTTGTATTTGAAAAGCTTCCCTCCGGTTCCTTCTTCTTGCTGCAGCGGCGCTCGGCAAGCTTCTCTATGTACTTCCAAGGTTGAGAAGGGTCAACCCCAGCCGCAGCCATACTAGCCTCGACCGCTTCAATTGCTGCAGCCTCATCCACGTTACCTCTCCGCATGACGTCTTCTATGATTATGCACAGTTTGCGGAACTTGGAGAAATACCTGATCTCTTTCACCCGCCCCCTCCTCCATGAACAGCCGTACAGATCCTCCAAATCCCTCAAGGGAAGCGGACAGCCTGGCTTGCCATGTGCCCATTCACTCCAATATTGAGCTACACACTGGTAATCTCTTCCTACCGTGTAACCCGAAACCCATTCGGGAAGGACGGTCGCATTCGAACGAACCCTCACAAAGGCCTGTCCGACGTCTGCGCTTTCTCTAAGAAGTTCGCCGTCCAGCTGGACTTCTCCACTGGGCTGTACGCCACCAGTCGTGCTGCTCGCTGGCCCCCCCTCTGGTGCACTACTGTATGCAGGCACCCTCTCCGGTGCGCGGCTGTTCTCTCCCCCCTCCTCTGGTGCGTGGCTGTCCGCGGGCACCCTCGCCGGTGCCCCGCCGTTTGAGGCGACCGCGTCCGAGGCGCGGCTGTCCGCTGCGCCCCCCTCTGGGGCTTGGCTGTTTTCTGTTCCTCCTTCTCGGGCAGGGCTGCCCGTTGGACTCCCGTTCGGTGCGCGTGTGTCCGCGGGCCTCCTCTCTGGTGCGCAGCCGTTGGCGGCGACCGCGTCCGGTGCGCGGGTGTCCGCGGACGTCCCCGCCGGTGCGGGGCTGTCCGAAGCGCCCCCTTCCGGTGCGCGACTGTCCGAAGCGCCCCCTTTCGGTGGCACGCAGCTGTCCGCGGACGCCCCTGCCGGTTCGCGGCGGTCCACAGCTCCCCCGTCCGGCGCGCAACTGTCCGCGGCGCCCCCGTCCGGTGTGCTGCCGTCCGTTGGCACACTCCCCGAGCACGCGGCCGCTCGTGCGGCTGCTCTTAAGGCAGCCTCTGTTGCTGCCGTAAGCGATGAGCTCGGGGGCCGAGCGAAAAAGGTCGGATGGCTTCTTCGGACAGCGGATTGCCCGCGCTCCACGGCAGTTGAAGCCCCACGTTCCCCGGTCGAGGAGGGGCTCGGAATTGCCCCAAAACGTTGGCCGGAACCGGAGTCCTGAAGGAGTCTCCTTAGTCCCGCCACCTCCTGCGCCAATTCCGCGATCTGCTTGAGGCCCGCTCGTTCCTTCTCCTTGCAGTCGCGAACGTCGCGTTGGATCCCAGCCAACAGTGCCTGATGATCCCGGAGGAGTGTAATGACCTGCATAGAGCATACTCCAATGATTTGGGAGGCGACATGATGAGCGCGTCCTACGATATTTGACAGAAGAAGAGGGAAGCAAAAGTACGCCCGTAAAAGCATGCGCGGACCTTGCCGAGTTGCATAAGGACATCTCCGAAATGGATGACCGACGTGTCTCCTTTCCGAACAAAATCAGATACGAAGCTGACGTTTTATTGGCCCGTTCATCGACCGACACACTTGGCAAAGCCTTTGTCAGGGTCTGAATAGGGCTGTGGTACACCAAGGAGATACTTCGCTTGAAACGAAGACCTGCCCTGCTGACACGGTGGTCGTGTTTTGAATCAACCGTGATGCATTGTCCAAGCGAAGCGGTCTCACGGAAAGAACTTTGCTTATCTAAGCTCCCGAGGAGAAAGCATGCAGATCATAAGTTTCTTCACGCAGGTCAATCAGAACTCCGACCCCGATGGTGTAACGTACATTGGAGCAACACATCATAACAGTTGACTTTCAGCAAACAATCTGAACAGATGGGTACGTCTCTCTAAACCTTGAAAGCTAGTTCGGGATTCACCTCGGGTGGCAGGTTGATGAGTTGCGGCGGGGCCTCCGGTGCGTTGCACGCTTCCAAGACCTCCGCCGCAAACGAGTCCCAGTCATCGCCCTCAAAGATAGAGTGGTAGATGATGGGGTGACCGAGGTACTTTTCAAGGCTTTGTAGCACGGCCACGTCCTGGAGGATGACCGCACGCAGCTCAATGAGCAGCTCGACGAAGCGCTGTGCGGCGATGTCCCGCTCAGCCACGGGGCGAGTGAGATTCTTCTGCAGAGACTCGGTGAAAGTTAGCGTCTCTTCAAAAGAAGCTCTTTCTCCGTACGATGTACGCTGTTCGTCTCCTGATAGCAAATCGTAGTGCCCGAGCACGGCGGTGACAACAACCTCAGCCAAAGGAGAAGACCTTATTGCCGTGACCGGTGTGTTTTTTACTACTGTATGGTTCTCCAATTCGGTCCCGAGCGCTTCCTTTGAGCACGACTTGACCGGATTTTGAACACCCGGAACCATTGACCTCCAAGTACAAAGTGAAGTCTTCAAGTCTTCCTCGGAAGCCGCGGTTTTGAAAGAGCAAAGACCGTCTGATATGCAAGAACTCTTGAAGAATGGCGCAGGCATCTTCTTGGATTAACGCTCTCTTCAACCAGTGACTAAGGGGAGAAACTCACGTTCCTGATGTACGTGAGCGCATCTTCCGCCCACGGAAAGATCTTGGCCGCTAAATCTGGATGGTTGGTCTCAGGGCGTGCGCGGCCGCGCTTGAGCACGTACGCCTTCCGGTCGTCCGAGGAACCAGCATTGATGAGCATGGCACCGACCGGCAGCTGGTTGAGGTAGGACGTCCGGAAGTGGTCGTAGATCCAGCGTCCAAGTCGGGCGCTCTCCCCCTCTTTTCCACTGCAAACATCAAAGGCAGTGATGTTATCTACTTCTCGATGCAAACATGCAGGCAAGCCTTTGCATCTTTAAGAGACTCCTGAAGACACGTTGTGCAACCTAAACGGCCTGCCTGCACAAACGCGATGCCTGACAGCGGCTGTGCAAGCGATGAGGTATCAAGTCGTCAGAATGAGGACCTCGGACAATCGATATACGGACAGATTCTGTAGATCGAAACGATCCTCGCCAAAACTTGGGCAACAGGTATGCTTGCAAGGGTCAGACCATGGCAAAGCTGTTGGGAGGGAAAGCGCATAGATGTGGGCCAGGCTGCTTACCCATTGTCTTCGGCATGCCTGACGGACGACCCACGTGGCGCGTGGGTGATCTTGCTGCTGACCACGTGCTCGTGTTGAAACATGGTCTTGAATTGCTTGAGCTGGGTGTCGTACTCCATTTTCTCGAAGATGTCGTCGTTCTCGTAGAAGAGCGGAAACTTGTTGTACCTGCGTCAAAAGGACAATGGTGTCGTGACACGCTCTGACGGTTCAACATACGAGGTGAATACGTATTCCACTTCAAACCATCGTCACTCTGGGAAAAGATCGACAAGCTTGGTGGACCGAAGGAACATAAAAGGGAAAAAGGTCAGTGCAACCGACAGCAACAATCGACAGCAACAACGGGAGCTGAGCCATTCCTTGCCTAAGCCTATACGCAAAAACTCTGAGAGAGAGCACAAGTCCCTTACCAGGCGGCCCTTGAACTGAAGTCTGGATATGAACCGGGCTCCGGGAACAGGATATGAAACGTCTGGAAGAGCTGGAACGCCACGGCGCCAACGGCGCACTCCTCCACGTTCTTGTGGCGGAAGCCTCCGAAATATTCAAGCCGCCCGTTCTGAAAAAGTGAGTACTGACTGCATAAACAACTCGAACTGTACTGGCTGATGCTTCTAAATCATGTTTCTGGCTTGGCTTCAGTGGAGGCAGATCGAGAAGAACTTCGTACTAAAGGGGCTTCAAAACCTGACGCAACCCCTACATAAGCGCCTTGAGAACGTTGGCCTTCAGGGCATTATAAGACCGTTTCAGGACTGCCTCGACGGGAAGTTCAGGCTAATCTTTCGTTTCTCTTCATCCAAAACACGCCGCGTCTTCACCGCTTCAGGGCTCTGCCACGTACTACTTACCTTGTTCGTTTTGCCGCAGTAGCTGACGCCGCCCACGAAGAGAGGGACGTCAGGTCCAACATTAGTGAACTTTTTGCAATACAGATCCGGGAGGTCGATGCTGCGGCCGTCATCGCCACGAAGGACAAACTGGTGCGAAGCCAGAAACATTCCCCTGTCGCAAACGAAAGAGAAACTTACGGCTCTGAGCACAAACCAGTGGCAACCAAACGCACATGTAAGATGTCGAGTGCTCCACGGTCTTAGTTTGCTGCTAAGCCAAACAGCAGTGCTTCGCACAGGAAACCTCGATAAAGTTGGCGCCAGGTTAGCTCGGGGTTAAGATGGGCGCAAAACCTTAGAGCCACCGAAGGAAGCCGACAAGGCGCTCTCAATCTCAGTGCTCAGTGCAGCTGTCCCTCAGTGACAGCGCTCACTTGAAGGCCAGCTCTTACCTCATTGTGGTATGCTGATGGGCTGAATCCACCTCCTCGCCGTCGTTGAAGGCGGTGTTGGGACAAGCTGCATAGAGCCAAGCCTGACAAAGCCGCAACTTCTCCTCCGCTGTGTACCCGTCCGACTCCGTCCCCGCTTGGCGGTCGGCGCAAGTCCTGCAGATAATACTTGAAGCTTCAGCCTTTCATGTCCGCTTGTTGTTTGATCGAAAAGTCTTTGACTGTTGGAGTCGGTTTACGATTTTGACACCGAAAGTAGCACTATGCAGTAGATTAACAATTTGAAAGCGTTAGTTGAGAAGCAGAGGTGCAAGGAAACAAGCATAAAACTGGATTCAAAACGTTAGAGACGTGTGACCGGTGTTCCAAAGGTCCTCCTAATCAGTGGGAAGGACATATTTGGGTCCGCTTTGATATACGAGATGTCATGCACCACAGCCTGACGCCTCGCATATTTCCCACAGCTATCACCATAGCCTCTTGCCTATGCGGGGACGGCAAGACGGCATCGGAAGTAGTGACGCAAGTTCATGCATACGGTGTTCGGACCACAATAAATGAATTGTGGAAATCGAGCTGGCACCCCACCGGATTTTCTTCTGCCCTGTGTTGAGCTGCGCAGCTTTGAGAAGTTGTTGCATGGTTGGTATAGCGCGAACGTCGCAAGATTGCTCGTGTATGCCGTCGAGGTTGTCTTGAACGAGCGCGAAAAACTGCATGCCCTTGACGAAGTTGTTGACAACGCCGAATGACTGCAAAAGGAACGAAAGTCCGAAGGTCAATGTCGGAGTGTGAGAGTTTTGTGACTTTCGGTGCACTTGCAACGAGCAACGGAGTCCCCTCTCTGAGCGTCGGCGAAAGCTCTTCTAAGGCCCATACGACTTTCATGATTCACAGTGGCGAATCAAGACAAAGATCCAGAGAACTTTCTTACTTTTGTATCAGGTACAGGCAGGTAGGTGCAAGCAGGCTCAACGTAACATGGAGCATCTACTGGCAGATCTGATGAGAGATGAAGAATTTAATCTTTGTTACAAGACACAAGACACAGACCTGGACCAAAACTGGTGGGGCGCTGAGGCACGTGTTCGTTTCTACTGTTTGTAACATCGTCAAGGAAAACGATGCCCATCTCCAGCGACCCACTTATCCTTGAGCTTACCATATCCTTGTTGTTGAGTTGGCCGAGGAGATTGACCGCGAGAGCAATCCTGCTGGTGGTGATGCGCGGGCCGCATGCCCACTCCGGAAGAGCCTCTTGGCGCAGCAAACCTTGGACGTAAGGATTCCGCGGGGGAGCCCACGGACCATCGGCGGTGCCGTGACCGTTGGTTCTGCAGAAGTTCTGGAGAAGGAAGCAAAATGAATGAGACTCTTACAAGTTGCCACAAAGTATACGACTGGCTGGCTGGACTGGTGGGTACGAGCGGGTTCCGTAACTACCACGTGTAGCAATAGTGCCAATTCGCTCAAGCATGTGTGTTGTCGAGAAGAACCCCTACGGTCTTAGGTCGGAACTTTGCAGTTTCATTCTCGCTCCGAACATTCTTGAAGAACTTAGCAGGCAGGAGACGCGTTACTGTAAGCGATACTTTGTGAGGGGGCTTGAGCGCCGTAGGGTCAGAGATTTTTACAAGCTGACGTCAGCAATACTCGGAGGAACTGCAGTACCTAACCGGACAATAATTCTGAACCCGACTTTGAGACGGACGGTTGGACTCCTTCGAGCGCTTCAAACCAAAAAAACGAAAGAGCTATTGCATTCGCTGTTATCGACTGTCCGCAAGGGCCTGGAACATTGCGAGCTCGCGGTTCGTGGACATGAGCTGACGTCAGCAACACCTGATCAATTTGCGCTTTATGGAACGACACTCTTTTCAAACAAGACGGTGTTATGTAACCGTTGGCCGTTTCAAAGCTGTAGCACGGTATCGCAACGCTGTAGCGACTTTTCAAAAACGGACTGGACTACTGCCGGCTTGGAGGTGCTGACACGAGATGACGTCAGCAATACGGTGAAGAAGCACACTGTCTGGCCACACCCTTTTTAGAAAGCACTTCGGACAGGCATTTGGAACCGCAGATTTTAATGGAGCCCCCGCTCCTTGATTGCGAATAGAAAGACGACCGCGCACTCCTAATCATTTTCTGCCAAAGAGGTGATAACGCCCGGTCGAAAGTGTGAACGCACCTTGTACGTCCTCAGTGCCCGAATGTAGTCCTTGTAACTCTTGGGCTTCAGCTCGTCGACCTTCATGATGGCTGCGGTCCAGTTGGCCTGCGCTTGCTGGTCCTCATGGCTCATGTGCCCAGGCACCCCGGTTCCGCCCGGAGATTCCGCAGCATCAGCGGAACCCGGGGCCGCTTGCCCAGAAGTCTGCTCGCTTCCATTCCCAGAGGTCCCCGGCTCCGCTGAAATACCGTCGAGCACGCTAGTGCCCGCTCTCCGCCCCCCTCGCCTACTTCTCCCGGCCCCCGTGCTCCCTCCCCGACCGGTTGCCCTTCTCACCGGAGCCCCAGTCGCTCCCCCGGTCCCTTGGTTCCGTTTCCGTTTCCGTCGCGGGGCTTCCGGCTGTGGTTCTTGGGGGATCCCCTCAAAGTTCGGCGATAGGACGTCCCCGCCGCCAGCAGCAGCGGCAGTCCTTCGGCCGCGCAAATCGATGGGCACGTCTTCGCTGTCTTCGTGCTCTTCCTCGCAGGTTGAGCGCGGTGGAGGTGAAGCTGGGCCCGGATTCTTTTCGATGCCGCTTCGAAAGAGCAGAATCTCTGAAACACAGATCACGAGCGATTACATAGCGTCGCACCTACTCACAAGAACCTGCTCGCAACTTCTTCTGAGGTTGTGCTTCAATGTCCGTTGAGTTCTATCGGAGACTGTGGCGTGGTCTTTTAATCAAAGAGTATGGCCTTTCGACATGGTTCGAAAAGTAAGCTAGCGAACTTGTCAACGCCTTGTCATTGGTCAAACTAACATGTGTACCTCACTTGAGCACGTTGGCTGGAGGGTCGAAAACTGGGGTCAAAGCCACTTGCTTCTGATCGAGACTGGAGTCGACAAACGCATTGCAAAGCAGCTTAAGTTGCTACACCATAGGTTGATCATAGAGTGCGAAGCAGACGATGCCAATCAGACCCCTAGAGAGGCCCACATTCCAAGATCATTAAAACGGCCTGGTTGTGGGGCATGAACAGATTCTAGTGCCTTTCAAAGTAACCAGGGATACAGAAGAGACAACATAAGATGGCATGGAAGACATACCGATGATGGCTCGGCTTAGCGCTTGTTGGATCCCAATGTTGAGATCCTTATGGAACTTCTCCGGCAGCCCACGTTCGCTCTCCAGCCAGTAGCGAGTGCTTCCCACAGAGCTGGTCCAACCTGTAAACGAATGCTTGGCAATGAAGGAACGATCTCAAAATTGAAAACAAAACTGAAACCTGTGACAATGCTAGAGCATCTCCGCACGTTCAACCTAGTGGCCTGTTAACAGAGTGAAAGTCGACTGTACTAGCTGATTTGGAAGCACCACCTAAAGCTCGGGGCTCCTGCACGAAGCGGCCACGATAACTACCCACAATCGATATTGCAGACCCCCTCTACGGAACACCTTCTACCTTGAACAGGAAGATCTCAGATTGATGCGGCAGCCCTGGCGCATCACCTACCATATGGTGAGAGAAGATGCGATAAAGCTATCAGGAGCTGACCGCAACATTGAGCAATCTAGTAAAGTACATATCAGAAGGGTGTCTGATGCGGAAGGTATTTGGGGGCTCACACAGCAGTTGCCGTGCCGTTGCGAGAGCCGTCTCCAGCATCTTTCCGCGCCAGCTCTCTTGCAACTCGTGGAGCTCATTCAAACGGCGTGCAACTTCTGCTTGAGACTTGGCCTTGTCGTCAACCTGACGCTGCGTGCGTCCGTCAATCCACTCTGCATGGTTGGAAGATGTTCTGTAGTCAGTCAGAAAAGCTGGTTACGAAGACTTCATACTACAAGGTTTTGCTATACTACTGAGGGTCACAGTCAGAAACTTCCCTTTCAACTGCTGAGCTGCTGTAGGCACCAAGGGGCAGTCTTGCTCTGTGCCAGGAACCAGCTTCATGGAAGGGGCTTTACTGAATTGCCAAGTACATTCCAAGCGACAATCGCCCCTGCACGAGCAAGATTCATACCCTTTGATCACCGAAGCAGAAACTGTTGTTGTAAGCAAGTATGATTTATCATTAGCAATCATCACCTTGGCGGTCAGGATCAATGCGGAAGTAGCCCGCAGCGACAGTTCCGCTGCGAGAGTCTGCTGGCTTGTGCTTCTGACATCGGTACTCCATTTTACCATGCTTGCCCCCAAGCCGTCCATGTGAAGCATGAGCCCCACAGCAATCACATTGGAGTTGGAAGACATCTGCAGATGTCCAAAAGGATCTTTGAGATTTATCAAAGATGAGGAGATTCATCAAAGATGAGGAAAACAATCAGCATCATCATAAAGAGACGGGCTCCTGTGGCAACTTATACCCAACTTGTATTCCTCGCACAAGCGGTCAGACTCGCACGTTGAAACAAAGGCACCAATAAAATCCAAGACCTCTATGGTTATCTAACCAAACGACTGCCAGGTCGGTGAGCTGCCAGGCTGTGGCATGTACGGCCCACCAAACTATCCCAATATTGCATCGGCCTCAGTCAATGTCATCAATGGACAAGGCTTCTGAAAGGCCTCCATCCACATTTAGACACAACATAAGGGCAACCAGGCAAGTGAGACAGCCTGCTGCATGTATGTCCACGAAGCCAGGCGTCAAAGCAGATTAGTGAGAGGCATGCCAAAACTCAGAGCAAGAGTAGGCACTGTACATCTGACCTGGCATTCAGAGAAAAGAAATCAAAGCTCTTACCCCCTAGCTCTTCTATCATGATGGATGCCATAGAGTCAGATGATGGCTTCAACACACTGCAGGGTGCAGACGACTCTCTAGCTGTGTATGGGCTGTCAAGTGTGGAAGATGCAGGAGGGTGGCTGTTTTTGTGATGCAGCTGGGTTCTCTGCTTTAGATTCGGATTGGTCCTATGCTTTGGAATAGAGGCATGATGGAATAGAGGCCTGACGAGCTGTAGCCCCAAGCGAGCTACCAGACAAGGAGGTGAGCTTCTGCAAGATGCTTAACCCATCCGGAACCCTCCCAGCAACTGCGATTGCCACAAGACAGTGGTGCCCGCAGCAGGGAAAAGAGGCAATCCTACTCAGCTGCTAAAGCTGACCGAAGAAGATGGAAGCATATGTCCTGGACCACTGCTCACACTGCACTCCTCCCAATGTTTTGACCCCCTTCTTCCCAGCAGAAGGTTCTGTCAAGGCGTCTTCCTCTCCAGCTCTCAAAATCTGGTTGTGGCAGTGGCAGTACCCGGCATTGGACAACCAACTTGCGGTACCAAGACTCATGATCTAATAGAAGTACCTAACAGGGCGCCCTGTGATCAAATTGAGGTATCAAAGTCTTCAGGTATTTGCAAGGTTTGGTTTGAAATTTGAATTCTGAGCAGATGGGTTCAATCAACGGTTTACTGTGCAAATTGGTTTGCACGAGCGTCGGCGGCAGAGGGCATGCACGCGGCGGCGGGCAAAATGACTTTGCCGTACGCGCTGTAGTACGAAGCAGGGCTACAGGTACTCACATAGACTCTCCAAGGCGTACAATTATTCCTTCAGTACTTAGGACTACTTTGTAGTGTCTTGATCGCACGATCGCATGGTTATCGCCCGGTCTAAAACCGGGGATCGCATGCGATTCCCAAGACTGTCGCCAGGGAAGGGGCGACTTATACGGTAGCTGGCCGGGAGCTGCACACATTTGGAGCGTCGCCAGCTGCTAGCTGGTGCCAGTGCTGGCGCCTCTGATCAGTCTGATGGGCCAGCATGGGCCAGCATCGTCAGGCAATCAGGCAGGCGCCGTCATTTTGCGTGTGTCGCATGTACACCATCGTACTTCTGACGTGAGGGGCTCATCATTGGCAATGCATAATGAGATTCAAGAACCAGCTGCACCAGGAGCGGAGTTAGGGCAGGAAGGCAGCTGGCGGATCAAGAAGAGATGGGGGGAGGATCGTACAGCTCATAGAAGGATGCGGAGGAAAGCAGGCTGGTTGACTGCTAACGGCTAATGCGTTCGGCAGTTTGGGAACGAGTATAGGCGTTTGGCAAGGCGGGCGGGCTACCTTCAAACGTGGCACAATTGACTGGGGCGTTGACAGAAGGGCCGGCCCGGCCGCTTCTCTGCACGGGGAATGCCATGAGTAGAGTGGATAAACGGCCGGCTAATCTGTTTTCTGGTCGGAATTGAAAAGACTGGAAGAGGGCAGGGCTGCCCAACTGATGCAACAGAACTGTTTACGATTGCCAGGGAGTCGTTGACAGGCCCTTGACAGGGGGTACGGGCCGGCACTGGAGGCGAGCAGGCGAAGTTCAGTTTGCGGCCCCTTTGCGGCGGACCTGCTGGCAAGTTGGAAGTGCGTTTTTATGACGGTGAGCCCAAGCAAGAGCAACAGCGGCAAGGTCATCTTCGGTCGCTTCGTGAAGGGGGAAGGAGGTTAGGAAGAAGGAGAACTTGGAGAACTCGAAAGCCGGTCCTTGCCAAAATTGTAAGAGACCTAATTTGTCTTCGAAGCTTCGATCACCTCGTGGCAGCGTTCTTTCTTGAAGAAGTGGAACGTTTCTGTGAGAATTTTGTGCAATGGTTTCCCAACTCTCAGGGTGCGAGCAGCTGTGGGGCATCTGCTACTAAGCCAGCCGTAAATATTTGACGAGATTCGGCGCCATCGGAGAAGTGCCGCTGATCATCTGATCAAGAAAAGGCCACTGCTGGAGATGCACCTCAGCATGGAGCCTTCGCTCGAATTTCGGAACGGCTGACCTGTACGCCGGTGTGACGGTGCAGGCAAGTGTCGATCTGCTCAAGACAAAGTGAGGGCACTCGAAGAAGAGATTTGATGCTTTCGTCAGCAGCCGGGCAAAATCCTTCGCAGGTGGAGTCAGGATACAGGCCCGGGACTCGGCGGGTCTTGTGCAGTCGATGGAAAGTAGGGAGCGTTCAACCTAAGATCTGAGAAACGCTTTGTGTGGCCCGTGCAGAAGAGGTCTTAGAAGACAAGGTGTGAACAGCAACGCCACGTCAGGGTGCGAAAAGGTGAGTGAAAGTCCACGAAAGTGATATTGCATATCCTTATCCGCATATAGCCGCATGAACAGTGTTGCTTTCAAAGATGCGGGGAGTGGGATTGCAAATGGGCTTGCAAAATGGTGACTAGGGGTAAGTGTCGTCGTTCATAAGGGATGTCAAAGCTGGTGAGTGGTAGACTCCCTTTTGCGAGATGGTCAACAATCGTGTTGTGTTCTTGGGCCTTTTCTACGTCTCGGTGAAAGGGTGGGTCGTGCGTCAACGCGTGGCCTGCGGTGCTTGGGGCCATCGCGCTGGTGTGCTTTCATATGCACGATCTCAGTGGTGCCTGTACGTGAGGCAATCTCCTCTGAATCCGAAGAATAAGTGAGCGGTTAGACAAGTGGCAACTGAGTTCGTAAGGTTTCGACGTCCGCAGCAAGGCCCAAGTACGCAGGTAGGGCAGACTGCTTGACGACAAGTCGTTGGATGGTGGGCCTTCATTAAGGCTATCTCAAGTGACGATCTATATAAAATCAATTGCACGACGCACGCCCGGCGCGGCGCCCTGGAACGCGCCGTGATGTGTATATATGGTCATGCATCAAATTGCCACACTAAGTTTAGGCAACTACGCACAGTTGTGAATTTTGAAATCGAGGTGAGTCGGAAACGGCATGTGGTGTTCAGCGTGCTGCATGTCAACGTACTGTGCGGTGTGGTGTGGACTGCGTCACCGACTGGAACGGTTAACTCGCGCGGTGTAGTTTTGCAGGCAGTAAGCGGCGAGCCCAAGTTGCAAACCGCCAATTAACGTGCGGTGTAACACATCCTCAACAGTGCGATGCCATGCGGATCGGCCGTCATTGATTGTAGTCCACGCGGTAAGAGTCCAAGAGGCTTTTACTAGCAGCATACGGTAGTGTTTGGGCTGCACAGTTTTTACCTAGTATAAGGCCCGTGGGACCCGGCGTCTTGTGTGCTCAATATCATGTAAAACTGGACATTTACAAGCCCTAAGCAAAATATGTCACCTATATCAATACAATAAGTAAGCATGGATGGCTAGTACAAGCATTTGTCGGTCTTGCCTTCTGCAAGTCGTCGCCTTGCACAACGGCTCAACAATTGCGAAGATTTGCTGGTAAGTCTGCAAGGCTTTTGGCACTATTTGGCAAGGCGTCATGCGGTTCTGATTAGCTCTACCGACCGCCAAAAAGCTGGAACTTGGCTGGACGCTCGAAGGACTGCCGGAGGCTATGGCGAGAGCAACAATTGAAACACCAACAGCTCCTAACCAAACAACAGCCGGCAAGTCAAAGGACAAGTTACCTATCTGGGGGTTAAAAACCTAGACTCGACCTGGACGGTCGAAGCGAGCTGCCTCGACCCTAAGTCGTAGCTGCCAGACAGGAAAGAGCCTGACCCATCAAGATCCCAAGCAGACCCGGCTCCCTGATTGGTCGACGCCACACTCGTGTCAGCGGCCTGCTTGCTAAGCTGCCACCACACCTGGTCCATAGACGGCCGCCGAGATGGGTCCTTGCACAGGCAGCTCAGTGCGATTGCGATGTAGCGCTGCGCTTCAGCCATGTCGTACGCGCCACCAAGCAAAGGGTCGATCAGCTCCAGCACCCTCCCTTTGCGAGCGTACTCTTCCCCGGTTTCGGACAGTCGCTCGACCAGGCCGCTCTCAAGTTGCCGCACCACCGGACGCGCGGAGAGGACCTCCAGGCACAACACGCCGAAGCTGTAGACGTCGCACCTCGGGGACAAGAACCGAGCTCCCCCGTGCAGGTATTCAGGGGCCATGTACGGCACGGTGCCCTTCACCATGGTGGACGTCACGTGGCCCCCCGCACCGCTCACCAGGTGTGCAAGGCCGAAGTCGGTGATGCACGCGCGCACCGGGGGTCCCTCCGCCAGCAGGATGTTCCCCGCTTTGATGTCCCGGTGCAGCATCGGGGGCTGGATGTCATTGTGCAGGTAGTTGAGGCCTCGGGCAATATCTCGAATCACACCAGTGCGCTCTTCCCAGGTGAGCGCCGGTCCCCTGCCCTCCCTTGCAGCATGCAGCTGCCCGCCAAGGCTGCCATGCGGGAAAAACTCCAGGACGAGCAGGCACTCTCCCGCGTCGACGCAGACCCCCAGCAGTGGCACCAGGTTTTTGTGCCGGACCTTCTCGAGCGCCTCCACCTCCACGCGCCATGACCGCTCCTCCACATCGCCGCGCCCCAGGCGCTGCAGCAGCCGCTTCACCGCCACGACCCTGTTCGGACCTCTGGAAAGGGTCGCCTTATACACGATTCCGAAGGAGCCACGTCCGACGACATTGGCATCGCTGAAGTCGTCCGTCCCCTCCCTAAGCTCGGTTAGTGTGTACTGCCCCTGATAACGTGGCAGCGGGGAATTATGCTTTGGGGGTTGCCTCGGCTGGGGCCTTGAACCAGGTTGCGGGGATAAAACAGGTGGCTCCGACGTCGGGCGTCTCTGAGGAGGCTGCCGCGGATTGGGCTTTGGGATTCGGGATGACTGGGCATGTGTCGTAGAGTGGGGGGACAAAACTGGCGCAGAAGGAGCTGGGTTTGTCGGGGCAGAAGGGAATGTGCCCGCTGAGGACACCAGGTTTTCGGCCCCATCTTCTGCGTCTTCTATTTTCTCCAGGGCCACCCCAGCCTGCCGCATCTGGTGGCGCCTTTTTCTATGGTATAGGACACCCAAACAAATGGCAAGGAGGAGCAAAGTCGCCCCCGCAACCACTGCCCCGATGATGATGCCCAAGGGTTGATTATTTCTTGGCCATTGCAAATCAGGGTTCCCGTCAAGGATATCTTTCTTATCAAACTTCACCAAAGTACTAGGAACCATGCCAGAGAGATTGTTATGTCCCAACAAAAGGCCCCAGAGGTAGGCGGGCTTGCCAAGTTGTGAAGGAATGTTGCCAGACAGCGAATTGAAACTCAAATCCATTAATTGGAGTCTGGTGAGATTGCCAAGCTGAGGAGGAATGCTGCCAGACAGCAGATTGTTTCCCAGTTCGATGAATTCGAGGTTGGTCATGTTGCCAAGCTGAGGAGGAATGCTGCCAGACAGCTTATTGTTCTTAAGTTTTAGAGATTGGAGTCTTGTCAGATTCCCTAGCTCGGGAGGAATAGTGCCTACCAGGTTGGGGCCTTTAAGGTCCAATTCCGTCAGATTTGTGAGCATACCTAGTTGAGGTGGTATGGTCCCATTAAGTTGTATGTAGTCATAGCCTAAGCGAATAGGTTAGCTGAGACAGGAGGACTCCAGGATACTGAAGTTGGATCTCGTCCATTGTAAGTGGAGAGACTGGGAAGATCAGCCAGCACCAGCTCAGTAGAATGATGAGCTGAGGCCTGTGATTGGGCAGCATGCTTGCTGGTGTGGGTTGCAAGTCGACTAAGAATCCTTCTTTGGCTTCAGAAGCTGGCCTGAAAACATGGAAACAAAGGTAGGCATCAGTACACTCCCTTTCTGCCACATTGATCTGACCAATACATAGAGCCAATTTTGAATCTTCTACTTGCAACCCTAGAGGGCAGATTCAGTCGTTTGTTCTGACACCGACGTCAAGTTTTCTGTTTACAAACAAGAGGTAGAAGGCAATATGGCCCAGCCTAGCTGTGGCTAAAAAAATTGTGTATCAAAGTGGGCTGATAGTGATATCAAAACCGGGTCAAAACCAAGGAACAAACCAGAAGGAAACAGGGAGGTTTGATAGTGAGGTAGTTTAGACGATTAGATATTGCACTGTCAATCTGGAACGAGAATACAACAGACATTCAGTAGTTTTGCACGATAAGCTGTAACACCTCAACACCTAAGTCCTGTATAGACCAAGAAAGTCGCCGCTAGCAATCGTTTTTTGAAGTAGTAGCATTCAGCCCCACATTCTCACCAATGATGTAGCACAACAGATAATCGAAGTCAGTCAGGGCTATTGTGACGGTTGG